CCATATTCTCACATACGTTCCAGGTCTTTGTCTTCCCGCCCACTTCCCATAGTTTCCCATATTTTCCGGGGGAATCGACGATTCATTGTGTCTGTGTGTATTCTTTCCTCCTGATCTATGTCGGGCCTGTCCTCCTACAGGGAGATCTTGGGCGACAGAAAGAAAGATACCAGAACAGTGCACCACAAATGCTCAGACATAGTCAACACATGGTCGCCCGACGCTGTCCTAAAACCATGTTCGAGTCTTCCTCCTGTAGGGGGACAGGCCCGACTGAAGGCCAGCTCGCGCCACGCGAGCACGTTGGGGAGCCGGCCACAGGGGCAGGGTCGAGCACCGCGGGGGCCTGGGGGGGAGCCCGTGCAGACGCTCCCGGAGCGTCCTGGACCTGCTCGCCGTCCCGCGAGGCGCCGCTGCTCCCCAGGCTCCGCGCCGCGTGCGTGAACATCATCAGGGACCGCTTGGTTCCGCGAGAGCCACATGAGCACAGCATCGCATCCGCAGCCCCTCCCCCTCCTCCTCCTCCATCGCCGCTTACTCCTACTCCTTCCTCCTCCTCCTCCTCCTCCTTCCTCCTCCTCCTCCTCCTCCTCCTCCTCCTCCTCCTCCTATCCTCCCCCCTCCCCCTGCCCTCCTCCTCCTCTCCTCCTCCTCCTCCTACCTCCTTCCTCCTCCTCTCCTCCTCCTCCTCCTCCTCCTCCTCCTCCTCCTCCTCCCCCTCCCCCCTCCCACTCCCCCTCCCTCCATCCTCCTCCCCCATCCTCCTCCTTCCTCCTCCTCCTCCTCCTTCCTCCTCCTCCTCCCCTCCCTCCTCCCCTCCGTTCCTCCTCCTCCTCCTCCTCCTTCCTCCTCCTCCTTCCTCCTCCTCCTCCTTCCCCCTCCCATCCTCTGTCTCAGTCTGCTACTTCTTCTTCCGCAAGGCTTTGCGCCATGGCACGCCCGTCAGATTACACACTCCTGCCCGGAAAACAATCAAAGTATGAGTGAGAGGGTTGCCAATGCAGCGTCTAAGGCTAAAATTTCTGCTACAAATGCCGATGTTGCGCCGCTCACCTGGAAACCGGCATGCCCTAACATAGCATACGTCCATGATTCACCGTGGCGTTGCACACAATATAAGACCCAATCGCATCCAGCGGACCCGTCTCGATACCGAAGGCCGCCGTCGCTATACAGCCGAATGTTGCACCCGCTCCGCAATGCATCTCGCAAGCTGTCGCTGTCGACGTTCTCCCAGCGGCATGCGGTATTCATCGCATAATTTGCTAAATGGTCAGCTTGCACATTGTATTTGCGAGGGCGCCATTCGACCATGTCTGCCCAGGGAGTCCTCGGACGCCAGTCGCGACTGAGTAAGGCTGAGTAAGTCCTCCTCCTCCTCCTCCTCCTCCTCCTCCTCCTCCTCAGGCTCCTCCTCCTCCTCCTCCTCCTCCTCCTCCTCCTCCTCGGCCTCGCGGCGGGCGACGGTCTTCAGCGAGCGCTGGGCGAGAGCCTCGGCGAGGGGCGAGGGGCGCGCCGCGAGCTCCCGAGTCGCACGGCGAGCAGCGCGCCGAGGTCGGGAAGGGCCAGGGGCTGCCGGCAGAGGGGCCTCGCGAGCGCGAGGAAGAAGGTCAGGGGTTATGTTGCTCCCACCGCACTTAAGGACCACATCCCAGAAACAGTTTCGAGCACCCAGAAAAATGTCGAAAGAGTGTCGGACGAGTGTCTCCTGCGGGCCTGGCACGCGAAAGCCCTGGAGTTTCGGCTCTTTTCTGGTGCCCGAGCTTCTCTCTCGTGATCCAGGCTAAAGCAGGCTGGAACATCATAAGTCAAGGGCCGTCTCTGTCGAGGCCCGGCCCAGGCGGTGCACTGCCGCCCGCGGCTGGGCAGCCGGCGGCCACCATTGGAGCCCTGCCCTTCCCAGACATGAGGGCGTCGTTAAAAAAATCAGGACGGGAAGTTTTTCGCCGTTTTCGGCCTCTAGAGGCCCTCGCGGGGCCCCGGGACCGTAAAAAAACGACTCAGGATGAAAAGCCGGTCCCGGGGAAAGGGTCGGAACTTCTGGGGACGCCGTTCTGAAAAAATCAAGACGTCGCATGTCTGGGTTAGGTCGGGCGCGTCCTCCCACAGGCGGATTCTGGAGGACACATCTTGAGAGAGGCAAGCGTTTCCAAACATCATCAAGAACATGTGGGACAAATCGTCCCGAAACTATTTTTGGACCACTTCCGAATCTTCCTCCTGCAGAGGGGCGTGCCCGACTTAACCCTACCCCCGCCCCTCCACGATTTCTACAAAGGGGGGGCAACGTTGGCGCCGCCATGGGACATCACACCCACGGCTGTGCAGTCGGTGGCCACATGCAAACCCTCCCTCGGCCCCCAGGATTTCTAAGGGGGGGGTGGGGGCCTCACTTCGCTCGGGCCGAGCGAAGTGAACCTCCGCCCCCCCTCAGAAATCGTGGGGGGCGGGGGTTGGGTTCGCATGTGGCCGCCGACTGCAGGAACTGGGAAGGCCACAGTTTACCTGCGGCCGCGGGTGCAGAGGGGCGAAAACCTGTGGTGGCTGGGCAGCTCGCCACAAGGATCGAGGTGCAACATCGGCAATGGTCTAGCCTCGGACCCGAGGTATCCACTTGGTTCCCAGGGGGATCGATAGTCGAGCCAAAATGGACACGGAGAGGAGGAGGAGGGAGGAGGAGGAGGAGGAGGAGGAGAGAGGAGGAGGAGGAGGAGGAGGAAGCCGAGGAGGAGGAGAGGGGGAGGAGGAAGGGAGGAAGGAGGCGGGAGGAGGAGGAAGCGGGGAGAGGAGGAGGAGGAGGAGAGGAGGAGGAGGAGGAGGGGGAGGGGTAGTGAGGAGAGAAGGAGGAGGAGTGAAGGAGGAGGAGGAGGAGGAGGAGGAGGAGAGGAGGACGGAGGAGGAGAGGAGGAGGAGGAGGAGGAGGAGGAGGAGGGGAGGAGGAGGAGGAGGAGAGGAGGAGAGGGGAAGAAAGTGACAGGTATGAGGAGGAGGAGGGAGGAGGAGGAGGAGGAGGAGGAGGAGGAGAAGGAAGATGAGGAGGAGGAGGGGAGGAGGAGATAGGAAGAGGAGGAGGAGGAGGAGGAGGAGGTAGGAGGGGAGGAGGAGGAGGAGGAGAGAGGAGGAGGAGGTATCCACTTTGGTTTCCCATGCGGGACGATAGTCGAGAAACATGGAACACGGAGAGGAGGAGGAGGAGGAGGAGCGAGGAGGAGGAGGGAGAGGAGGCGGAAAAGACGGAGGCGCGGAGGAGGAGAGGAGGAGAGAGGAGGAGCAGGAGGGGAGGAGAGAGGAGGGGAGGAGGAGGAGGAGGAGGAGGGAGGAGGAGGAGGAGGAGAGGAGAGGAGGAGGAGGAGGAGGAGGGAGGAGGAGGAGGAGGAGGAGGAGAAAGGAGGAGGAGGAGGAGGAGGAGGAGGAGGAGGAGGAGGAGGAGGAGGGGGGAGGAGTGGGGAGGAGAGGACGGAGGAGGAGGAGGAGGAGGAGGAGGAGGAGGAGGAGGAGGAGGAGGAGGAGGAGGAGGAGGAATAGGAGCGAGAGGAGGAGGAGGAGGGGTAGGCGGAGAAGAGGAGGAGGAGGAGGAGGAGGAGGAGGAGGAGGAGGAGGAGGAGGAGAAGGAAGATGAGTAGGAGGAGGGGGAGGAGGAGGAGGAAGAGGAGGAGGAGGAGGTGGAGGAGGAGGAGGAGGAATGGCTTCCTGGTGAAGTTGGAAGATAATCGCCGCCCGTCGCCGTCGTCGGGTAAACGACGAACCAGGTGGCCTCGCCGAGGCGTCCGGATTCGACGACCTCGCGGGGGGGCAGGACGCGCGCGCGACTCCTCCTCCTTCTGTCTCTCCTCCTTCCCCATCCCCTGCCTCCCCTCTCCTCCTTCTCCGCCTCCTCTTCGCCTGGGTGTTCAAACCCGCCTGCCCGAGTTACCCCCCTGGCTGCGGTACGCAGCGGGCTCTGTGTGGACCCTCTCTCTGCTGGAGCCCCCACCTGTGCCATGCTCGACACATCTTTGAGCAGCATGTGGCGCTTAATATTAAAACTCGTTCAGAGTCTCGAATTTGCGAAGATGTCTCACGCAACACTGCCGTTCTCGGAGTCTCGTCGAGGCGTCCCGAACCCTCTTTGAGGTACACTGGGGCTGCAGCTGGACTCCCATGAGGGCCTCCAGGAGCCCTCTAGATCAATCGCAGGCCCTTTTGGGAGACCAAGATGCACGCTTTGAGAAACAGCTGCTTCGAAATCTCCTTTTTGGCACAACGTCATACGCGGGTACGCCGTTTTGGACCATTTTGGATGCATCCTGGGGGTTCTTTTGGGCCCCCTTTGAGCTCTCTTGAATCATGTTAGAACCTCATTGGACCCCAAGGAGGCAAGCTTTGATCATCAATTCCAGCGAAGCTTCCATTCGGAGAGGATGTCTCCCCTCTTGGAGCCCTCTTGAGCCATCTGACACCATCTTGTAGCACAAGAGGCGAACTCGCAAAAAAAGCACCGCCTTCGACGTCGCATATTAAAACGATCGATCGCGCGACGCGCATGTTTTCCTAACATGTTTCGGGCACGACGGGAAGCGCTGCTGCCTGAGCCTCTTATTGCTGGTGCTGCCGATTGCCGTCGTTCGCGGCTGCTTGAGGATCTTCTGCATCGTTTGCTGCATCATTGCTGCTGCGCGCTTTTGCTTGCTACTGCGTGTTGCTGATTCCTACTTATATTCGTATATACGCCGCGTCTGCTTTTCCACCTCCCCATAATCCTAATCGTGCTGTTGGTTTCGGCTCTTTGCTGTTCCCCCTCGCTGCTAACGTTTGCTGCTCGGCCCTCGTCATCCTCCGCGTTCCTCGCCCGCGCCCCGCTTCCTCCTCCTCCTCGTCGCTGCTCCTCCTCGTCGTCCTCCCCCTCCTCCTTCGGGAGCGGCCAAGAGGGGGGTGTCCAAGAGGGGGGGGTGCAAATCATGACCGGCGGCATGTGCGCGGCCCAGCGGGGGGGCCAGGGACGTAATGAAACAAGAAGAGGCGCCATGAGAGCTGGGGAAATATCATGGCCCCCGCCATGATATCCACCCCCCCCTAGTCATCACCCCCCTCTTTTCCGCCCCCTCCTCCTCGCCTCTCCTTCGACGCTCACCGGTCCGCGAACGCGGGCCTGGCTTTCTCACGCCAGGCTGCACGGCTGCGGCGGCCAGCCTGGATGGGGCAGAAGCCAGACGACGGCGCAGGCCTCGGAGCGCTCTCGGCCCCCCCCTCTTGCAAAGCCGTGCTCTCTCCAGGAGGAGGAGGAGGAGGAGGAGGAGGAGGAGGAGGGAGGAGGGAGGAGGAGGAGGGAGGAGGAGGAGGAGGAGGAGGAGGGGGAGGAGGAGGAGGAGGAGAGGAGGGGGAGGACGGAGGAGGAGAAAGGAGGAGGGGGAGGAGGAGGAGGGAGGAGGAAAGGAGGAGGAGGAGGAGGAGGAGGAGGAGGAGGAGAGGAGGAGGAGGAGGAGGACACGAGGCGGGGCGGCCAGGGGCCGCGGCGGCGGGGCAGCGGCCTGGCGGCGGGGCCCAGGGAGGGCACGCGTCCCCGCGGGCACGACGGGGGACAACGCACCCGCCCACGGGGGCACTCGTCCCCGCGGGCACGACGGGGGACAATCCGGAGCGACTGCGTGGCGCGCTTCGCCATCCAGGGCCCGAGGGGCGACCGCAGCGCCGTGGGTGAAGGCTCATCGCCCCGAGGCTCGGGTCAGGATCGCCGCCGTCTGCGCGGTGTGGGGCGCCCGCTCGAGCAGGCCTCGGGCCAGACCTCGGCCAAAAGGCCCTGGCCGAGCGTCTCGTGGGAGAGGCGCTCCTCGGGGGGCCGCCGGAGGGGGAGATCTCTGTCCTGCCCAGTGGAGGAGCGTGGAGCTCCGACGCACGAGGTCGCAGGTAGATCGGGGCCCGCGCCCCAGAGTGCACGACAGCTCTGTTCATCTGGCGCGGTCCGATAGACAGTATTGTGATGACCCCCCCCCTCTACAGTGGAGTCCCATGCCAAGAGACACCCTGCTTGCCTCCAGGGTGCCCTGGGTTTCTTGGGTTTTGATCGATGGTTTTGCTCTGGAAGGCGTGACGTTCCCAGACCAAAAATCCATGGACGTCCTGGTGTCTCAGGGTTGGGTTTCTTGTGGAAGGTTTCTTGTGGACTGGCCTCCACTGTATGCTCTCATCTCGGGCTTGATGGGCCCACGAGTCCTCCGCTGTTGTTGAGGGGCATGCCCGAGTCTCATGTGGAGCAGGAGCCGCCTTGGAGAGGACGGCGCTCGGACCATGCCCTTTCTCAGGTCTCGAGTACCGGCGAACTGCACAGCATCCTGAAACTCAGGGGCGAATGACGGCACGGGGGCCGCATTCGCTTGTCCTGGAATTCGTCCAGAGTTCGTCATACATACACACACACCGTGTACGGCCACCCTCACCACACCATGCCTCCGAAGATTTTGTTTTGGGGGGGGGAGCGAGAGAGAGGCGGTCCCGGATTCCGCCGGCTGGCAAGCTACCCCGAAGAGGACGACAAGGAAACGAGGGAGGGGAGGAAGAACGAAGCAGAGAAGGACGAGACAACACAAGACGACAGAAGGCAAAACGACAAGAGAGGCACCACGCCACCGCAGCCTGGCCTCAGAGCTCGAGCACAAATGGAATGGCGAGGAGCGCGGGCAGCGCATCATTGATCAGGACTATGCCTCCGAAGAATGTGCTCGGACAACATGCCCTGTGGGCCCACATCGTGGTGGCCGAGCGGCACCAGGCGAGGCCGGCCTACTGTTTCCTCTTCTGCTGCGCCCTCTGCCGCCCCGAGAAAAAAAAAACGGCTGGGTGGCCTCCTGCCCCGGGCCTGGCAGCTCCCGGAGGTGCGGGCGGCGGGGGCGGACCGCTTCATGAGCGTGGATCGAGGAGGAGGAGGAGGAGGAGGAGGAGGAGGAGGAGGAGGAGGAGGAGGAGGAGGAGGAGGAGGAGGAGGAGGAGGAGGGGGGGATGCTGAGGAGGACGGGGGGGCAAGGTGAGGTAGTGGAGGAACGGGGGGGATGTGAGGAGGGGGCGGGGGATTGGTGAAGGAGGGGGGGGGGGGGTATGGTCGAGGTTCGAGGAGAAGGGGGGGGTGATGGTGCTCAGCGACAACGGGCCCGTCCTTGAGCCCGGCGGCGTCGTCGCCGCTCATTGGCACAAGAGCATCACGTATACACAAAAAGGAATACGCCTGGCGCCGAGCGCCCACCACGCCAGTGCGGGGGCACGAGGCGCCGCGAGTTCCGTGCCGCTCGCTTCTCAGCGACGGCCGGAGCACCTGGGAACCTGTGTACCAGGCAGGTTCCCCCCCCGGGCTTCCCCGAGGTGCGCGATTCTGTATGCAGTTTGAGCTGTCCAGGCGTCTGCGATCGACGCTTTGCCCTCTGCTTGCTCTCAAAATGGTAGTACAAGCCCTCCTTAAGACTGAGACGGACACAGGGAGATAGAGAGAGATTATACTATGATGCTGACGATGATGATGGTGATGATGATGGTGATGATGCTGGTGATGATGGTGATGGTGGTGGTGGTGATGATGGTGCTGGTGGCGATGATGCGAATGGTGGTGGTGCTGATGATGGATGGCGACTGTGATGGGGACAACGGTGGCGACGATAATGATTATGATTATGACGGTGCTGATGATGCTGATGATTATGACGCTGGGGATGGTGATGGTGATGATGATTATGGTGATGGCTCTGACGACTAACGACTACGATGACGATGACGATCGCACGTAGCCTCGGGAAGCCTCGTGCGCGTTAAGCGGCAGCGGCAGGGGCCAGCTTCAGAGCAAGACGCCGAAGCTCTCGAAGTTATCGAGGCCGCCTTCTGGAGCTTTTCCCTCAGAGTCAGGTGCCCCGCAATCGAATATGAAGAAGTAGTCTTTGATGAAGACGCCTCAGATGGCGGCGAGGCTGACATGAAGTGCTGGAGCTGCGCGGGCCTGGAGGTCATCTTCTCGGTTTCTGGTCCCTCTCATCGCTCGCATTGTCGATCTAATGGGGGAAGCGCTCTTCGATCCACTCCTACTGCGCCTCGAGGGAAGCAATTGTCGACCCGATGTCTTGCGGCAGCGTGGTGGTCTGGGGACCCGTGATCTGGGAAGCCTCCTCGATCATGGCGGACATCTTGGACTGATGCTGCAGAACATATGTCTGGACACCCTTCAGCAACGTCTCCACGATCTCGCTGGTGACGGCACCAAGCGTACCCCGCGTCGCGAAGCTATCGTTCAGGGCGGTCTGAATCTTGTCGCCGATAATCGTGCGGAGCGTCTCGGATGCCATCAGCCTGTCCTCGACGAGGCGCCCCACCGCGTCGTGCGGCCGCGTCTCGAGGGACTCCAAGGCGCTGTCAAGCGTCTTCCCGTGGCCCCGCGCGCAAGGTGAAGGACCAACACGCCTGGAACGACTTCCCGACTTTCTCTGGAGCCGTCCTGGTACTCGATGCTGGCCTGGTGTCCAATGTCGTCGACGGTGCCCGTGTTGAGCAAGTGGGAGTTCTCCACCAGAGACCTACCCTCGAGAATGTTGTCAAGGTGTTGCCCCCCCTTCTCCGTGACGGTGCCGTCCACGATGTCTGCCCAGGACCTCCTGCTGGACTCGGCCGCAAGCCAAGCACGATGCCTCGCAAGTGGATGCCCGCGTGCAGCTCCAGCGACCGTGCGCGCACAGGCAGGAGCGGAGGAGGATGGGGAGGAGGAGGAGGAGGAGGAGGAGGAGGAGGAGGAGGAGGAGGAGGAGGAGGAGGAGGAGGAGGAGGAGGAGGAGGGAGGGTCTTGGCTTTACGCCGCCCTGGTTCGGGGAGGAGCACGTGGACATGCCCAGCTGGGCGGCCCTGGAGGCAGCCGAGCCGACGAGCGCAATGGGCACGCCGCCGGCGGGCCGCCTGGAGAGAGCGTCCCCTCGAGGTCGGGAGCGCCCGACACCGCTGCGGCAGCTAGGGGGACAAAAGCGGCACGAGCATAACAACTCCGAGGTCCGCGCGGAGTCTCGGATCGGCGCTGGACCCCCCCTCCCTGGCGCGCGGAGCGCGCCAGGGGCGGCGCCGGAGGCGCCGCCGGGGGGCCCCAGCGCCGATCCGAGAAGTCCGCGCGGACCTCGGAGTTGTTATGCTCGTGCCACTCTTTGTTCCCCCCTCCCATGTTATGTTATGTTATGTTATGTTATGTTTTGATATGTTATGTTATGTTATGTTATGTGGCGGAGGAAGGACTTGTTATGTTATGCTATGTTATGCTATGTTATGCTCCCCTCGAGGACTTGTTATGTTATGCGGCGGACGAAGGAGCCAACGACGCCAGCGACCATGTCCGAGCCGCCGCCGTGGCAGCGCAGAGGGGGGCGTGAGCGGAGGAGCGGTGCGGCACGGCCCTCCGCGCGGGCAGGGTCGCCGCTCCCGCCAGCAGGGAGGGCGGGGTGGGCCCCAGATCTCTACGGGTCGATGGCGACGGCGATGCTGGTGCTGGTGACGATGATCACGGTGGTGATGCTGCTGATGATGCTGATGATGCTGACTCTGATGATGAGGATGATGCTGCTGGTGATGACGGTGATGATGACGATGATGATGCAGGTGCTTCTGAGGATGGTGGCTTTGCTAATGATGATGATGATGCTGATGATGATGATGCTGATGATGATGCTGATGATGATGATGCTGAGGTGATGATGCTTATGCTGCTGAGGATGTTGATGATGATTATGATGATGCTGCTGATGATGACGATGCTGCTGCTGCTGCTGCTGCTGCTGATGATGATGATGATGATGATGATGGTCATGATGATGCTGCTGATGCTGATTATCCTGATGATCATGATGATGATGATGAGGAGGAGGAGGAGGAGAATGAGGAGGAAGAGGAGGAGGAGGAGGAGGAGGAAGAGGAGAAGGAATAATGAGATGGGGAAATGCTGTGATAACAGCCTGGTCCTGCATGGCGCCTTTCGTTTGTGCATTCAGTCGCTGCTACTCTGCGGTGTCGCTAATTCTGGGATTGGCGGGATACGTGAGTGTGGGACGACGAAGCGATGATTCCCTGCCGGCCCATCCGTAGTCGCAGCGTAGACTCGCTGCAATAGATGCTCTGGCATCTGCATTCTGTCCAGTTTGCTCGGGGTCAAACCGCCGATCGGAACAGCGGAGCGCTCTTCTCCCGAGTCCAAATTCAGTTCGCATTGAGGACCCACGTCCACACGAAGATCAACTTTCAGATGGCCGCGCAGACCTTGTCGGGGTGCGGTGGATCCCCCCCCCGAGGGTCCCGAGAAACCTGCGCGGACGTCCGAAAGCCTGCGCGGAGTCAATTTGTGCTGTTAGATCGTCGTCGTCGCCGTCATCGTCATCGTCTTCTTCCCCCTCCTCCTCCTCCTCCTCCTCCTCCTCCTCCTCCTCCTCCTCCTCCTCCTCCTCCTCGCAGGTCGTGGTGACCTCGCAGGGGCACCTGTACTTGTAGCCGCCGGACTCGAAACCCCTGTAAGTGCACCAGTAGCCTTGGGTGGGAGAAATCCTGCTCTCCCCTCATTGTCCTCCACCCTCCCCGCTCCCCCTCCTCTCTGTCTCTCCTCCTTCTTCAATTTCGTCTCCTCCTCTGAGGGGCAACGATAGGGGGGGGACTGGCATAGGGTGGGATGCATCGACCTGTAATTGGCGATACATCGCCGATGGATCGGCGATAGGCCTCTGATAGTGAGTGCGCACCTTCCTGGGCAGGTTGGGGCTATCGGGCCCCTATCGGCGATCAATGGGCGATTGGGGGTCGATGCCTATCCCTTCCTATGCCTATCCCCCCCTATCGTGGCCCCTGATCCTCCCCCTCCTCGTCCCTTTTCTTCTGCACCCTCCAGCCGACGTCTGCTCCTGGCCCCGGCTGTTGCTTCTCCTTGTTCCCCTCTGGAGGCACCGGGGGGCCTCACAAAACCTCTGGCCTCTGGCAACATAGGGAGCCACAGAAGACCGCCGGTGTACATCCGAAGACTCAGGAAACCATCAGAAAACCATCAGAACCCCCCCCCCGCCCCAGGAGCAAGCAGCCTTCGCCATTCCAGCCTTCGTTCATGTCAGTGGACTGCCAATTGCACATCTCGGTGCGCGAGCACGTCCCATCACTATCGAACAGCAGGGTCTGCTGGGGCGTGTACATGTTGACGTCGCAACTGGCCTCGACGGCTCCTTCTATGCGCCGAGTCCAATCCTCGAAGCGAGGGGGGGTAGCATGAACCATCGCAGTAGGGACGAGGATGGGCGCAGCGCGAGGCCATCGGGCCGAACCCGCAAAGAAGAACCAGCACGGGTAAGGACGGTCCGAGCGGGCAACGACGAGCCGAGGAGGCGAGGGTGCAGATGCAACCTCGAGGAAGTCCTGCATCCGTTCTGCCGTGGGTGGCTGCTTGGGTCTGAGGGGTAGGGTCGCCGTTCTCATGCTCGCCCAGGGGTCCCGTTTTCCCTCTCGAGGCCTGGTGGTGCATCCAAGGCCGACGGTTTCCTCCCTTCCCCGGGTGGGGGCACGGCTGGGCCGTGTTCCGACCCAGGGGGGAGCGCCGCGGGTCCTGGGTTCGCCTGGTCAAATTTGTTGTCGGGGCTCTCTTGGGATCTTGAGAGAATGTCTCGGGACCAGGTGGGCGCTTCGGGGGCCTGTCCGACGCCCGTCGCGTCGCTGGGTAGGGGAAGCACTCCCTGCCCGCGGGAACCCAGAATACTTGCAACGGCCGACCCAAATCGGTTTCGAGCTGCACGGTGCGCAGCAACCCTGACCTCGATCTTCTTGAAACTCGATCGTCCGTTCAGAGGTTCCCTTTTTCGGCTTTCGTTTGTCCAGATGCTAGGCAGGCCAGACGAGAGACTACGCGCAATGCCGAGTCTTCTTCTTCTTCCTCCTCCTCCTCCCTACCGCGCGGACGAAGACGAGGTCGGGATCACGACCCGCCCCAATGCAGACTACTCGTCGGCTTTGCGCTGTTCCTACACTCAGTCTCCTTCATGCTGCGCTGCTGCACAGGCATGGTGGCGGGATTAGCTGCAGACAGCTGTACCTACCTACCTACCTACCTACCTACCTACCTACCTGCCTACCTACCGACTGGCCTACCTACCTACCTACGTACGTCCATACATCCATCCATCCATACATACATACGTACGTGCATGCAGGCATGCATGCACACATGCACACACTCATACACACATGCACACATCCATACATACACATGGGCATCACACATACTTATCTAAACATATACACACATGCATGCACGCGTACACACAATACATACGTATATACATGCATCCATCCAGTCATACACCCATACACACATACATCCTTGCACACATACATGCAGCCACACATACGTTCATACATGCATGCATGCATGGATACATATATATGTCAGTAGTATGTATGTATGTATGTATGTATGTATGTATGTATGTATGTATGTATGTATGTATGTATGTATGCATGCATGCATGGATGTATGTATGTATGTATGTATGTATGTATGTATGTATGTATGTATGTGTGTATGTCTGTATGCATGCAGGTGTCTGCGTGCATGTGCATGTATGTAGGCAAGTGTGCATGCCTGTATGTCTGGATGCATGCTTGTGTGTATGTGTGTATATGTATGTATGTATGTATGTAGGTAGGTAGGCAGGCAGGTATGTAGGTAGGTAGGTAGGTAGGCATGTAGGTAGGTAGGTAGGTAGGTAGCTAAGTAGGTAAGTAGGTAGGTAGGTAGGTAGGTAGGTAGGTAGGTAGGTAGGTAGGTATGCATGCATGCATGCATGCATGCATGCATGCATGCATGTATGTATGTATGTATGTATGTATGTAAGTATGCATGCATGTATGTATGTATGTATGTATGCCTGTCGGTCTGTCTGCCTGTCTGGAAGTATGTAAGTATGTAAGTAAACAATAAGTAATGACAACTCGACGGGATAGTCAGGTATAGCGCCTGGTCAAGCAAGCAGCAGCCCGAACCTCTCTGCAGCCTTTTCGGGTCAAGCCTGGCGCGATGACGGCCTAGGCCGAGCGCGGGGGGGGCGACCCGAGGTGCGCGAGATGCAGTAGCTACCGCCATGACACCCGCACCAGAGGTGGCCCCCGCTGCGCCAGGCCGGATGGACGGCTTCCTGCGCTGGCTGGCCCCCCGCGCGGTCACTGCGCTGGGCATCGTGGGCTGCGTCCTGTCCGAGGGCGCCGAGACGGGCCGCGGGGCCATGATCAGGCTCGGCGTTGGAGCCTTGCTCGTGGCGTGGCGGTGGGCCAGCTGTGGTTGCTGGTGCGATGCCTGCGCGAGTGGTGGGACAGCCTGACGGACAAGTCCGACGATAGAGGCCTCCTGGATGGGGGTGGAGTAGAGGGGGTCGGAGAAGCGCGCCGCATCGCCGGTGCATCGCCGGTGCATCGGCGATGCATCGTCACCGTCGGCGATGCATCGGCGACGCCGACGTGGGGAAAATCGGGCTCCACATCGAGCCGCATCGCCGATGCATCGGCGACGCGGCGCGAACCCCCGACCCCGCCCACTCCGACCTCAGCCGGGAGGCCCGGGGCCGAGGTGGAGGCACCCCGAGCGCAGCCCGAGGCGCCGCCGACCGGAGGCGGCGGCGGAGCACCCCCGCAGGCGACGGCCGCGGCCGCCGCCCGCGGCCGCCGCCCGCGGGCAGCAGCGGCCGGCGTCGACCCCAGCAGAAGCGCTCCACGCCTTCGGCGGCGACGACGGCGACGACGCGACGACGCGACGACGACGACGACGAGGACGAGGACGAGGACGAGGACGAGGACGAGGACGAGGACGAGGACGAGGACGAGGACGAGGACGAGGACGAGGACGACGACGACGACGACGACGACGACGACGACGACGACGACGACGACGACGACGACGACGACGACGAAGGGCGACGACGACGAAGGGCGACGACGGCGGCGGCGGCGACGACGAGGCGCGGGCGAGGCGCACCGGCGGCAGCGGGGCCAGGAGGGCCGGGGAAGCCCGGGGCCGCACCGGGAAGGCGCAGGTGACGGAGGGCACGAAGGTCGTGGGCTACGAGCCGGAGGGCTTCCCCCCGAGGCCCAAGCTGGCGGAGGCCAATGCGAGCTACCTGGTCGCGGCGCTGACCTGGCTCCTGGCCAAGCTGTGGGTGGACGAGGAGCTGCTTCGCGCTATGGTGGGCGTCGGATTGCGGGTGCCCTGCTGCAGGGGGAGCCGATGTCGGTGCCGTCGGCAGTCTTCGACGTGATGGAGAAGAGGCAGGGCCAGGTGATCGTGCGGCGGGCCTCGGCGAAGCGCGAGTCTATGGTGATGCGCGACCTGATCCCCTTGATGGTCTGCAAGCTGGGGCCCGCGGCGCCGATGCTCTTCGCGTCGGAAGAGGGGCAGACACGAAGGGCGCGGGCGGCTTCGGGATCGTGGGCACCACCATCGGCAACGGCGAAGCGAGGGAGGTGACTGGCGCTGAGACACGCCCAGCCATGCCGTGTCCTGGCTCGGCGGCACAGCGAATCACCTCGGATACCCGTCTCAAGGACCCCGAGGGAGTTGCTGCAGTTCCCGCAGGAGGTGTGGGCCGAGCTTGACTGGGGCTGGTGGGAGGGGCCCGACCATCTTAGGCGAGGGCCGTGCTGTTGCTCGACTGGCGCTGTCCTGCCCCAGGCCCACGGCCACGCCGTCTGCCGCGAGGAGGACCATGAGCCTATGACAGTAGCTGTGGCGACAGGACGATCCCCAGCACCACACCTGAACTTCCTGTTGCGAAAAATCGGTGCGCTGACGATGGCTACGGGCATCAAGCTATACTCACCCTGATCGGTGTGGGCAGCGCCCATCAGACAGCAGACGCGCTGTCCCGAAGGCGGCGGCGTGGGGTGGTCAGGCCCAAAGCGGCTCGACGCGGACCAGGCCGCCAAAGTGACCAGCAGTACCCTTGAAGGGTTCCGCGCTGCCGCCCGATGGTTTTCATCGTGGGCTCTCCAGCGCGGCCTGCATCCTAGCGGCGCAGACCTGTGGGATAGTATTGTGGTCGAGTACAATAATGATCCGTACGGCTTCTTTACACCCTCTAAATTCGCGCAAGTGGCTGCAGCTGTAGAATTCATCCAGAAGATGAAAGGCAACTTGTTGTGGAGTAAGGCTGTGATTGCGGTTTGGGAACGTAGCGTGCCTCAGAAACACACTACCCCGCTGGGAAAGTTCCTGGGCAAGCTCTTGGGGGACAACATGGTCTCTAGAGGTCACCCCCGCCTGGGCTCCGCCATCATCCTGCAGTGCCATACGGGTCTGCGGCTTCCGGAGCTCTTGGGCATGTTGCCAGAGGACGTGGTTTTCCCGAATGACATCGGCCAAAGTTTGGAGAATGTGGCGCCATACGTCGCTTTTGCGCCAAGAAAGGGGACTAAGATCAAGAGGCCCCAAGTGGCCAAGACCTCCCAGGGACATCGTGAAGGTGATTGAGTTCATCTAGAAGGCTACCCCGGCTGGGACCCCGCTCTTCCCGTACGGCTGGGGTCAGTACCGGGCGCATGTCAAGCAGATGGGGGCCTTCGTTCTTGGGCCTTCAGGCAGGTTGGGGGCTTCACAGCCCCAGGGCAGGCTGGGCCAGTAATAATCGAGCTGAAGGTAGGATGTTCGGGAACGTGGGAGGTGGGCCTCGGATGCAAGTCTGAGGATATATCTCGATATCGCGGGGGCCAGGCACATCTTGACACAATTGAACACGAAGGGGCTTTCATAACAACTCCTCTGGCTCAAGGGAGGTTGGAAGCAGTACTTCCCGTACGAATCGGCGCCCATCTCGCAACATGCCGCCGAGAAGGCACGGCCCGGCATAGCGGAAAGTGGGTGCAGAGAGAGGGAGAGAGAGCAACTCGAGAACGCGCCGCCGGTGTCCCCGCGCCCGTCTCTGCCGGGGACGCCAGCCAATCGGTGCAAGTGCCGCACGCCCCTGATAGGGTCCGCACAATCCGAGAAGAAGGAGAATGAGGAGGACAGGACAGGACAGGACATCCGCATAGTGGGGTCAAGGTCAACACCTACACTGGTGCCGTGCGCGCGACTGGCAAGATCCCCTGCGATTAGGTTGTGCAACAGCCCAGACTTCTCACTAGGGCCGGCAGGGGGCATACCTCGAAGCTGCAAGGGGCGAGCTCCGAGGTGGCCCCGTAAGAGAGGCTCGCTACCTTGTGGGTACGAATCCCTGCGGGTCAGTGCGGGGGGGGCAGAAGGAAGAGAAGGGGGAGGAAGAGGAGGAGGAGGAGGAGGAGGAGGAGGACGACGACGACGACGACGAGGAGGATCGCCGTCGCCCAGAACGCCGCCGAAAGCCAGGTCGCCTGGGGTGGTGCCGCCCGCGACAGGTTCTGGCGGCGGTCCCGATGGAGGCTGCAAGGCATGCGCGTCCGCCTGGACACCCGCAGTGGCACGTCGCGGCGGGGGGCACTCCGCAAGGGGTCCTCTCTCCTTAGCAGCAGGCGGCTGCGCTTCAAAGGAGTCTTAAGAGGATCTGGAAGGAGGCTGCCAGGTGCTACAAGTGGCTGTCGTGTCTGTCGCCGTGCTTCGGCCCCGCCGTCGTCGTCACCATGATCATCACCACCACCACCACCATCATCATCATCATCATCATCATCATCAACATCATCATCACCATCATCATCATCATCATCATCATCATCATCATCATCATCATCATCATCATCATCATCGTCATCGTCGTCGTCGTCGTCGTCATCGTCGTCATCATCATCATCAGCACTCATCATCCTCATCCTCATCCTCATACTCATCCTCATCCTCATCCTCATCAGCATCAGTATCAGTATCATCATCATCCTGATGATGTTCCCGACGGGGCTGTTTCCCAACATCTTTAGGGGCTCCGTCGCGGCAACTACCTTGGTGGAGGACGTCGCCAAGATTGGTGGAGCTGTGGCCCTGGCAGCCAGAAACCTTACGGTGGCAGTGAGCGGAGTGGCACTGTCAGTTGCACGAAATTCAGCGACCTTCTTCGACGAAGCGTGGTCGGGCATCGACCTCCTGCAGTGCCGCCCGAACGTCACAGGCGGTCGCTTCGTCGTGGACGTCGGCGATGCGGGCAACCCGCCGATGCTGCAGGAACTGGGGAGGGGCCTCGAGGCGGTCCTTGACGCCCTCGCCGACGAGCTGTGGTCGGCCACCCTGAGGGTCTCGGTGCGGGCTCCCGCTTCGGCCAGGCCTTCATCTCGCTTCAGCCTCTCATCAAGCTTCTACATTTGGGGCTTTGGGGCTGGGAGGTGATGCCAGTCAGTGGAGATTGCTTGGCAACACGATGCTACCGTGCGAATCTTGACGTCGCGCTGCAGTGGGCCAATCCAGTCCGGGTGCTCACGTCCTCCGCCCCCGCCGCCGAACTAGAGAAGGCGACGACCCGGGTGCGGGATGCGGTGGAGACCGGCAGTGGGCGCGAGCATGATGCAAACGCCGTTGTCAACCGCAGAGGGGATGCAGCAACCCGCCCAAAGCCCTCCCTGGTGGTTTCGACTAGAGCGCTGGTTCGATTCGCATATGCAGTGGCTTTCGTTCGCGTGCGGAGGTCGGCTCTGGCAGCAAAGCCATACAGCAGGTTGATTGTAAGCGAAGGTCGGATACTCAGAGCCAAGCTTGAGTTTAGTGTATCGTCCAAATGTCATGGAACACTCTTCCACACTGGGGTGTGAGATGGACTTCGATATTCACGTTGAAAACAATGCAGAGAGCTGGCTACTCACACGTGGGACGGAAGAGACTTGAGGTGAGTATGGCTGTGGCCATAATCGTGATCCGCTGAAAAGGTGAGGGCTGCAGTTGTGACTGATATGAGCGTTTAACTGCACATGCCTGACCTGATTCCCCACTCCCCAGAATGTTCGGGAGCTGGTTCGTCGAGAAGCGTGTCCAGAACAATTCGGGGAATTTCTCTCCGAGGGGTAAAGCTCTTTCCCCGCGGGCGTGGGGGTGGGGTTAGGGTGGGCGGGTTTACGACTAGGTGTCTAGGCATTGTTGGCACACTATACACAATGTGTATATATACATAGATGTGTGTGTGTCTGTTCGCAGTGAGACGAGCAAGTGGGCATCTATCATTATCTGTCTCTCCTATCAAATCTGTACATCTAACTATTAGAATGCGTCTTGTAAGCGAAGGTCGGATACTCAGAGCCGAGCTTGAGTTTAGTGTACCGTCCAAATGTCATGGAACACTTTTCTACACTGGGGTGTGAGATGGACTTCGATATTCATGTTGAAAGCCATGCAGGGAGCCGGTCACTCATACGTGGGACGGAAGAGACATGAGGTGAGTATGGCTGTGGCCATATCGTGATCCGCTGAAAAGGTGAGGGCTGCAGTTGTGACTGATATGAGCGTTTAACTGCACATGCCTGACCTGATCCCCCACTCCCCAGAATGTTCGGGAGCTGGTTCGTCGAGAAGCGTTCCCAGAACAGTTCGGGGAACTTCTCTCCAAGGGGTAAAGCTCTTTCCCCGCGGGCGTGGGGGTGGGGTTAGGGTGGGCGGGTTTACGACTAAGTGTCTAGGCATTGTTGGCACACTATACACAATGTGTATATATGAATACACAGATGTGTGTCTGTTCGCAGTGAGACGAGCAAGTGGGCATATCATTATCTCTGTCTCTCCTACCAAATCTGTACATCTAACTATTAGAATGCGTCTTGTAAGCGAAGGTCGGATACTCAGAGCCGAGCTTGAGTTTAGTGTATCGTCCAAATGTCATGGAACACTTTTCTACACTGGGGTGTGAGATGGACTTCGATATTCATGTTGAAAGCAATGCAGGGAGCCGGTTACTCACACGTGGGACGGAAGAGACTTGAGGTGAGTATGGCTGTGGCCATATCGTGATCCGCTGAAAAGGTGAGGGCTGCAGTTGTGACTGATATGAGCGTTTAACTGCACATGCCTGACCTGATCCCCCACTCCCCAGAATGTGCGTGCCCAAATTAGTTCGGGGAACTTCTCTCCAAGGGGTAAAGCTCTTTCCCCGCGGGCGCGGGGGTGGGGTTAGGGTGGGCGGGTTTACGACTAAGTGTCTAGGCAATGTTGGCGCACTATACACAATGTGTATATATGTACACGTAGATGTGTGTGTGTCTGTTTGCAGTGAGACGAGCAAGTGGGCACCTCTCATTATCTCTGTCTCTCCTACCAGATCTGTACATAAAACTATTAGGATGCGTCCACATATGCATGCTGATCATCAGACCGAGAGATGGTGATTTCGATCGATTCATTAGTAGTGGAATCAATGGGCAAACGGGGAGGGCCGATAGATCGCGATGACGATATATAGTGGGATGACTCTATATTATGGTGAATTCGATCTGGCGTCAATCGAAAACCGGAAGCTGCACCCATCCATCCCCCAACCTCCTTATCACCCGAAGGGTGGTCCTGTCGGTATGGGGGAGGGGGAGACCCAAGCATCCGACGTCGTGATTCTTCACGACGTGCAACTCCAGAGGTCTGGACCTTTCCGCGGGGAGCGGCTTTTCATCCTGAGTGCTCCTGTTGACTCGTTGACAGTCCTGGGTCCAGGTGAGGGACTCCTGGAAGCCGAACATTTCCCCCGAGCCCTGCGTCGTGCTTCCTCCCACGACGCGAGGACGTCTGGGCAAGGAGAGGGCTGGATAGGATTGTGGATGCCACCACAATGGACACCCTAACAGTCCTATCATTGAATTTAAACTGTGTTTAACATGTAGGAACCATGTTCTACACATGTTTCAACATGTTTAGAACCTGTTTCAGACATCTGGAACTTATCTGGCAGCATGCTTCCTCTCCATTGATCGTCCTCCACAAGGATGGGAGGGAGGGAGGGGCCAAGGAGTGCGGAGGAGAGCTCCTCGAAGCTGGTGATGAGCTCCGTGATTACGCCGATGGTCGAGAGGGCGCATATGCCCGTCACCGCGGCGCCTCACAAAGGCGGCACCCGACCGGGCCCATGCGGGCCGCTGGGCCACAGAGGCAGAGGGCGGCGCACGGCCGGCGCACGACCCTCCCGATCGAGGCCGACACCGGTGGCCGGGCCGCCCCGCTGCGAGTGCCGGGCTGCGCGGAGCGCAGCCATCGTCGCGCCCCTGGGGGTGGACAGGCGGCCATGCCGGCCCCATCCGCCCACGGCGCGGCACCTGCTGCTGGCTGCTCCTCCTCCTCCTCCTCCTCCGCCTCCTCCTCCTCCTCCTCCTCCTCCTCCTCCTCCTCCTCCTCCTCCTCCTCCTCTTCCCTCCTCCTCCTCCTCCTCCTCCCTCCTCCTCCTCCTCCTCCTCCTCCTCCTCCTCCTCCTCCTCCTCCTCCTCCTCCTCCTCCTCCTGCCGAGCGGGGGTCTGACCGGCCGGCCCCGTCTCGATCGATCAGCGCATCGGCCAGATCAGCGGCAGGACAAGGCTCTGTTCAGTCTCCTCATCCTCCGCGTCGGCCGTCCTCATCCTGAGCGAGCCCGCGTCGACAGATCCTGCGGTTTTGCTGCAAAGGGCGGCGCATGATCCGCAGTAGATTCCACCGCACGCGGGGCCGTTGCAAGGCATCTCTGCCCGCACCTCAGGCGCAGAGGCCTGCAGGGCGGCCGCTTGAGACAGAAGGGCTACAGCAGCGAGAAGTGAGGAGGGATGGTAAGCGTGGGACGGGGGGAACCCACACATCCGACGTCGTGATCTTTGGCAACGCGCGCCCCCAAAGCCTTGGACCCCTTCCAAGGGACCCGCTCTTCGTCCCGGGTCTCTCTGCTGACGGCCCAGGGGCCCGGCGAAGGCTCCCAAACGCTGAAAATGACAGAATTCCCCCGTCGGCTGTTTTCACTCCGCGAGGATGTCAGGGGATGGGAGGAGGCGAAGGAGGGTTGAGGCGGAAAGGCCGGGGGGACCGAGAACGGGGAGACAAAGGCAAGGGAGGCAGAAGGGAGTGAGGCGGCAGAAGTCAGGGGTTTCGGGGCGGGCCTTCCTCCTCCGCCTTCTCCTTCTCCTCCTCCTCCTCCTCCTCCTCCTCCTCCTCCTCCTCCTCCCTCTCCTCCTTCTCCTCCTCCTTCTCCTCCTCCTCCTCCTCCTTCTCTTCCTCCTCATTCCTCCGCCTAAGAAGTCAGTAGGGTCTTGGGGTTCGGGGGTCCCTGGGCGCACCTGGGCGTCCCCAGAGGCCCTCAGAGGCCTTCCGAGGCCTTCGCAAAGCCAGCGACGCCCGATGACCCCGAGAAGTCGTAGAACACATTCGAAAACCTCCTCCTGCTGCTCCTCCTCCTTGTCGTCGTCCTCCTCCTCCGCAGCCATTTTGGCTCAAGATGCTTTTTTGCCCGTGCTTGACCAAGGTGGTTTCGGGGCCACTATCCCGACGCTGAGCGCGCGTCGGTACAAGCCCTTCTCGTCCCACCGCAGCAACGCCATGGGTGTTGGGAATGCTCGCAAGCCGTTCTCGGTGTGTGTGTGTGTGATGGTTGCAAGCAGTGGGCCTACAACTTCAGCATCGAACGCGATTGCGGGAAGTGTGTCAAGTGCGGTGGCCAGGTAGACCTCTACAAGGGGAAGACCACACGTTAGGCCGCCAGCTCGGGCAATACCCCTCCATGGGTCAGCGACAAGAGTCGCCGCTGGTGACAGGGCAAGGACAAGGACAAGTCCACCACGTTGGAGGCGGAGTCGATGGCGCGTGCGCTCCAAGCTCTCCGTGCCCATTGGCCCTCGATCGAAGAGGAGATCGCGGCCATCCAGGAGAAGGCCACACCCAAGCCAGAGCCCCCGAAGCAGAAGTCGCCCTCGCAGCTCGCGCAAGTCCACGGCGCCGGCCCTGCAACCAGGGAGGCGGTACTGTCTCCTCCTCCTCCTTCTCCTCCTCCTCCTCCTCCTCCTCCTCCTCCCCTCCCCCCTCCTCATCCTCCTCCTCCACCCCTCCTCCTCCTCCTCCTCCTCCTCCTCCTCCTCCTCCTCCTCCTCCTCCTCCTCCTCCTCCCCTCTTCTCCTCCTCCTCCTCCTCCTCCTCCTCCTCCTCTCCTCCTTCTTCTCCCTCTCCTCCTCCTCCTCCTCCTCCGCCTCCTCCTCCTCCTCCTCCTCCTCCTCTACTCTCTCCTCCCTCCTCCTGCTCCTGCTCCTGCTCCTGCTTGCTCCTGCTGCCTCCTCCTCCTCCTCCTCCTCCTCCTCCTCCTCCTCCTCCTCCCTCTCCTCCTCCTCCCTCTCCTCCTCCTCCTCCTCCTCCTCCTCCTCCTCCTCCTCCTCCTCCTCTCCTGCTTTCCCCCTCCTCCTCCTCCTCCTCCTCCTCCTCCTCCTCCTCCTCCTCCGCCTCCTCCTCCTCCTCCTCCCCCTCCTCCTCCCCCTCCTCCTCCTTTTTCCTCTTCTTCTCCTCCTCCTCCTCCTCCTCCTCCTCCTCCTCCTCCTCCTCCTCCTCCTCCTCCTGTACTGTACTGTACTCAATGGAAGCGGCCGTCGAGAGCCAGCCGCCCCAAACACAAAACACACTCACCCAGTAACGTGTGACTGCTGAGCGGGAAACTCCAGGCCATACCTTGAGAGGAGCTGGGCAGGGCGCCTTTCCTTCCACAGGCCTGGATCAGGGGCGGCATGATCGTTGTCATCAGCTCGCCTGACCAGGATCCCTCTGTGAGCGGCCTGAGGAGGGCCAGCAGGTCCAAGGGGGACGGGGAACCATGCCCAGAAACAGTCCACCCTGCATACTGCTTCGTCCACGAGGGAAACTCACCACGCAGAAACCTCGATCTTTGTCGTCTGAGGTCCTTCGTCTTCGGCTGGCCTTGGCATTTGCCAGCAAGGGACATGACACCTGACCATGCATATCCACCACACTTCAAGCAGCAGATCACCCACCCGTTCCCAGCCGCCCTCCCACCGTCCCTGACGAAAACCTTCGCTTTGCAAAGGTTGTGGCCCTGCAGTCGGGACAAGAGGGTGGTCTCGCTTAAAACCTCATCTGGGAGACCTTCAGCCGTATCAGAGAGCAGAGGCACCTTGAAATCGACACGGGGTGCCCACCTCCGACGGCCTTCCTTGCAAAGACGCGCAAACTGCCTGGCAGAAGAAGATTTGGATGGCTGGGGCTGGGGCTCGCACTCGTTGCTTCCGCTCACCTCAACGGGCTCAGGGAAACCAGACGAGTCCCCCCAGCCTCTGTCAGCCATCATGACATCTTGCATGCCACCCCATCTGAGCAGCTCCTTCTGGTGCTCAACCAGCGCAGAACGGATTTCAAGGAGCTGCTCCGGCAGAGGGTGGCGCGCAGCTCCGAGCTTGGCAAATCTGTCTGCACGCTTATTTCCTGGCCGCTCAGCCTCCGAGCAGCTACCATGGAGCACGTCACCTACACTAGCATGCCCCTTTACTTTCAACGCAGACACCCCATTCTCAAAAACATGCCAAACCTTGGTCCAGAGATGGGCCCGCGGGTTCTGGGAAGAGCAACTACTGGCCCTGTCCCAAACACAACCGAGGGTCCCCTGGCAGTCAGTGAAAAACGTGTTATCTGAAAACGGTTCAACAAGCTCTGACGCCATTCTGTAGGCGTAGTCCTCACCGTCACGGGCCTGTTGCCACGGGGCCTCTTCGCGAGGCACAGGCCCATAGGCCGCCGAAATCACATCACCGAATTCGTTGGTTTGGACCAAGCTCCACCCAGCTCTGCGGATATCTTCGCACTGGGGGTTGGTCGCTGATCCATCAGTGAAAATTCTACCACTGAGCCTACCAGAGGCCGGCTTGTTGCACCAAAACACTTGACACTCATACAGGGAGAGAGGAGGAGGGATCAGTTCTCGAGGATGAGGAGGCACCCCAGCAGCATATTTCTCAAGATCCTGACCCCATTCCTTGGCCCTTCTCGCAGCAGCCGAACATGCGGCAGAAACATATTGACGTCTATCTCCGTCAAAGGCTTCACACTCGAACCTCCTATGAAACAGAGTGCCCTTGCTGGTGTGGCACAGCTGGCAGATGTCGTCATCGGCCAGCCCGTGGTCCTTAAGGCGAGCCTGAGTCCAGGTACCTAGAGCGAACGTATTCTTCATACACGCTTGGTGGTGCTGTCCCCAGACTTGCTTACTCCCAATCTTCAGAAGGTCTCTGGCCCCTTCCCACAGAACAGGCCTACACCAGACCCCGTTGAGCTTAGGCCTGAGAAGGAGAGCACGTTTGTCCGCCCAGTCCCCTGCATCACGCTGCGCAAGACTGCTAACCATAACAGGCGATAGAGACAGCAGGTCAACCACTTCACCTTGAGCAGTCGGGACCTGTCTTGCTGAGGTAGGCGTCCAGCCTAACTCTCGCAGCGTGAGCAAATATACGTGTGCTGGACTGGTACAAATATTCCAGGGTCTCTTGACCTGCCAGAGGTCGTCCACAGCTTTCTCAAATACCAACTGCATAACATCCAGCCCAGGAGACCCATCCCAGATCGCCCTACACCACTGTAAAACCACATTTGTATGGAAAATAACATAAGGGTCCATGCGGGCTCCAAGTGGGTGCATCCTGTGCCTGAACGACATGAGGGCCCCCGACTTGTCCTTGGTCAGACTGCGTGTTGCTGCAAGCCTCATGGCGCGCAGCTGCTTAGGGGGCAGCCCTGCCACCGCAGATCCCCAGAGCCCTGCAGCTTGGGGTCCAGCACGCTGAAGGTTGCCGACAAACGCACCTGCGTTCTTCAATCTCAGCAATCTTCTGGACCGCTTAGATGCCTTCAAAAGTCGAGCACGTGCGGTAGGGTTTCGCCGCAAGCGTCTCGCCACTGCGTCACACCCCAAAGAACGGACAGCAACTTGCGACTTGAAGCCATACTGAGCCCACATACCACTGAGCACCACATCTAATTCCTTGCACGATGATAGGCACTTGGTCTTTTTCCCCGGTAGGACAAGCTTAAGTTTCTCAAACCCTTCCTTAATCATCGCCCCAACTCCTCCCAGCTGCTCCCCCGCAAACCTCACCGTACCAATGGACTGCATGGATACATCATCGATCACATTCCTGATCATGAGGGATGGGTAGGCCGCCGTGACTGCAGAGAGAAGCCTATACAGAACCACTCGTGCAAAAGATGTGGCCAAGCTGCATCCTGCCAGAATCGTGCCCGTCGCATGCACAATGTCCGAGATAGCCCCCCTGGAACGTGAGAGCTCTGGCGCCAACATACAGCTGAATAGCAGCACGCGTAAGGCGGAGGCTGAGGCCAATAGCTTTAGCCTCCTCAAAAAGAATAGACGGGGCATCTCTCTCGTAAAACTTGTCCAAATCACTAAACAGGGTCCCAGTGTGGAAGCGTTTTATCCGTGCAAACTCACACATCACCGCATGGTTCCACCCCGCCCTGTCGCATTCCTTGCCCCTCTCACCCCAGAAGAACTGAGCAGCGCGCGCTCGCTCCCAAGATCTGACCACTTGCTGACGTACTCTAGCCCAAACCCTGAGAACCGAAACAATAAGGGCCAGCGGGCGCAATCCAGCACCGTCAAGTTTACCCTGGAAGACGATGAGGGCGGCATACTTATCGGGCAGCTTGGGGCACCTTTCCCAAAGCAGAAGCAGGTCAATCAACCGATCAACGTATTCCACAAGAAGTAATAGCCAGCTTCGAGGATTCACACTGTCGACCCCCAGACCCGTCTCGTGCTTGAACTTACTAAGGGCCCACTGCACTTGCCCCCATATCAGGCCTAACAAGAGGAGGCTTTGCATCTGCTTCCGCATGCTGTGCTGGCGAGAGAGGACAATCATGGGAGAGCCAATGCTTCCCCCATTCCTCCTGCAGGGCGGCAATCGCTTTGTCCCCTTGGAGAGCCCATCCCTCAGCAGCACGCGGCCCCTATGCAGGAGCCTTTACCTTAGAGTACGCACGCGCGGCCTTGCCAGCCTTAGCAGACGCAGCATCCTGGGCCCAAGCCTTCCAATCCGACCATCTCTTCGCCGTGTGATATCTGAGCATCTTCTCATAGGTCATCTTGCAAGAAGGCCCCAGGCAACCGATCTCGACACCCCCAGAGTCCTCGATCTTGCGAATCAGCTCAGGAAGGCTAGGGGCCAGACACTGGAACTTGGCACCTAACTTGTCCAAGCCCAGGCCAAGGATGGACGCACGCAACGAAGGCCACATAGCAGATACCTCCAGGTTCTCTGCACATGCTGCAGCCTTGACAAGAAGTGCATCTAGAGCTCGCCAGGCACGAAGGCGAGGAGTACCGTGAGCAAACCACTTACCTTTCAAGACAGTGTCCAGGGAAACCTGCTTCCTCCTGTAACCCTTGGTCCTTCCAGTGTACTCCCCCATCTCCTCCCCCGCGGTGTCAAAGATGTGGCAAAGTTCCCTTTCAACATTCTGAACCCATAGGTCCCAAACCACCTCCAGGTCCAGGTCCCCCGTGTCCCCAGTGCTCCAGGCCCAAGGCAACTGTAGAGGCTCACGAAGGCATCCCGTCTGAGGCTTTGTGGGGAACTCCTTCCACTTTACTCTGACGTGAACTGGCATCGCAAGGCTTACTCCGCGTAGAGTAAGTTCCACTGGGGAGTGCGGCGAGCAGGGTGCCTCACTCCATACCTTAATGGAGTTGCCACAAGAGGGCAGACCAGCACACACAATAAAACTAATCATTTTCCTGTCCAGACCCCGCAGCACAAGTCTTCTTCCCAGGAGAAACCACCGTAGCCCCAAGCCTATGACACCATTCATCAAGCCCAGACGTCCCAGGATTCATATTGGCATCACAGCCAATCACCCAAGGAAGTGCCAGAAGCTGAGGTACATACCCAGAGCCGCCATCAAAGGAAGGTTGTCGCCCTGGACCCCCTGCGAGTGATAAAAACAAACAGACATCCAGATAATCCCACCTGACAGGACCCCGTCTACATGTCTAGCAATGATCCTGCCCCGCGTCTCAGGCACGGCATAGACCTCATCCAGCTGCAGCGTGCGCTGGCAGATGTAGGAGAGGCCTCCAGCCAATACACCTGCCGAAGTAGACAAAACTGAAGCACCTGTGCAGACTGCTGGGCAAACATCGGCATTGAGACCTCTTGCACGTAGGGACCCAGAGTATTGATTGATCATCTGCAGCTCTGAAACCCTCGTCTCTTGCGCCGCCCAAAACTGAGGCTTCGGACCTTGGACCTCCTCCATCCTCCACTCCAGGATCAGCTCCCAGGAAGACCAGGTATTAGCATTACAGGAAAAGAATACCCACTCATTCCGCTGTCCTTTAGCTTTCCCATCCCTCGGAGTCCTACGATCAGGAGCAGCAGCGGGGGCGGAGCCAGGAGCCTGTACACAAGGCTCCCCTTCCTGCTGCTGTGCCGCCACAGCAGCACTGCACACTCCATCAGGTGGCTGGTCCTCACGACGTGGAACGACATCATCACGTTGAGGGACATCCAGCTCCTGACTACCTGGGAGACGAAATGCTTCTCCCAGAGAGGGTGCGCGTGCGTGGTCCTCATGACCACGCTCGTCCTGAGACCAATTGGATCGCCCCCTCCTCCTCCTCCTCCTCCTCCTCCTCCTCCTCCTCCTCCTTCTCCTCCTCCTCCTCCTCCTCCCCCTCCTCCTTCTCCTCCTCCTCCTCCTGCTCCTCCTGCTCCTCTCCTCCTCTCCTCCTCTTCGTCCTCCTCCTCTTCGTCCTCCTCCTCCTGCCTCCTCCTCCTCCTCCTCTCCTCCTCCTCCTCTCCCTCCTCCTCCTCCTCCTCCTCCTCCTCCTACTTCCCCTCCTCCTCCTCCTCCTCCTCCTCCTCCTCTTCCTCTCTCTCCTCCTCCTCCTCCTCCTTCTCCTCTTCCTCCTCCTCCTCCTCCTCCTCCCTCCTCCTCCTCCTCCTCCTCCTCCTCCTCCTCCTCCTCCTCCTCCTCCTCCTCCTCCTCCTCCTCCTCCTCCTCCTCTCCTCTCCTCCTCCTCCTCCTCCTCCTCCCCTCCTCCTCTCCACCCTCTCCTCCTCCTCCTCCTCCCTCCTCCTCCTCCTCCTTCCTCCTCCTCCTCCTCCTCCTCCTCCTCCTGCTCCTGCTGCTCCTCCTCCTCCTCCTCCTCCTCCTCCTCCTCCTCCTCCTCCTCCTCCTCCTCCTCCTCCTCATCCTCCTTCTCTTCCCCTCCTCCTCCGGCCTCCTCCTCCTCCTCCCCCTCCTTCTCCTCTGGAGAAGGAGGAGGAGGCGGCGGAGGAGGAGGAGGAGGAGGAGGAGGGGGAAGAGGAATAGAGATCGGCGTCTGCATTCTATCCGCGTACGGAGCCAGACTTCGGTGACGCAGTTGACTGTATGGAGTGCGCTCGTGTCTGGCGCCAAATGAGCTTACGCGAATCTGTGTCTGAGTTTGGCCTGCTTTCGGATCTTCTCGGCCCGACGGCCGCAGAACCGCAGGATACGCCTCTCGCGCTTGGCGCTCGGCGGCCTCGCGCAGACAGGAGCTTCAAATGCATCGGATGCATAAGAAATGCGAGGAGGAAAGAGGAGGGGAAGGAGGAGGAGGAGGAGGAGAAGGACCAGTGTAAAACCCAAGACTCATCAACGATGTTGCAATACACTCTCCCTCCAAGATCCCTCTTTACAAATCCCTAGAACGTAATTTCTTATTCTGGGAAATGGCCCATTAGAAGACAACCGTCTGGGAAGCCTCAATCGCGCCATAACGCAATTCCTGGGACTTCGAAGCCGCAGGTCAAAGCGACTGCTGCGTCCTGACAATCCTAAAACGTGCCATAACGCCGTCCTTGGGACTTCAACACCGCGGATCAATGTAGCTGCTGCGTCTCGACAATCCTAAGTCGCGCCACAACATCATTCCTGGGACTTCGACCACACGATCCCTTGGAACTGTTGCAAACTTCGAAACGAATGCGCGCGGCGCTAAAGCGAGAGCCACATTTTGAAAAGGAGCCACCCTCCATCCTTGAAGCTGTTGTAAACTTTGAGACGACTGATCGCGGAGCTCAAACGAGAGCCACATGTTGAAAACCACACAGCTTCCATCCTTGAACTTGTTGCAACTTTCAAGCTTCAAGGTCATGAGCGATGAAGAAGACTCTGCCGAAACGCTTAGCCTGCCATACCGACACGTCTGGGGGTGCGACTGGGAAGAGTTATTCCTGAAGGGGTGGAGGAGGAGGAGGAGGAGGAGAAGGAGGAGGAGGAGCGAGGGGGAGGAGCGAGGAAGGAGGAGCGAGGAGGAGCGAGGAGGAGGAGGAGGAGGAGCAGGAGCGAGGAGGAGCGAGGAGGAGCAGGAGGAGGAGGAGCAGGAGGAGCGAGGAAGGAGGAGCGAGGAGCGAGGAGGAGCAGGAGGAGCGAGGAGCGAGGAGGAGCGAGGAGGCCCTGGGCTGACTCGTCTGGCAGCCCCGGCATCCGCGCGCGGGCCCTAATTAGCCCCCGCGCCGCCCGCCGGGCGCCCCCCGCCCGGCAGGCACGCGATCAGCGCCGCGGCCCCTTGGGCCGAGCGGGGCCGCCGGCCGAGGAACGGCACGCCCCCGCGGCGTGCGGCCGGGGCCCCCCGGCGCTGGCGCCGGCGCCGCCGGCGGCGGCTCCGCGGGGGCGCCGCGGCGCGCCGCCTTCCGAGCGGACGAGGCCCGCCGGCGGCGGCGACGACGGCGGCGGCGACGGCAACGACGACGAAGGCGACGACGACGATGGCGACGACGACGGCGATGGCGACGACGACGGCGACAAGATGACGACGGCGACGACGGCGACGGCGACGATGGCGACGACGACGACGACGGCGACGACGACGGCGACGACGACGGCGGCGACGACGACGGCGACGACGACGAGATGACGACGGCGACGACGACGACGACGACGACGATGGCGACGAACACGACGTCGATGGCGACGACGGCGACGACGACGGCGACGACGACGGCGAAGACGACGACGGCGACGATGGCGACGGCGACGGCGGCGACGACGACAACGACGACGACGGCGATGGCGATGACGACGACGACGACGAGATTGACGAACGACGCGACGACGATGCGACGACGACGACGAGGCGACGACGGCGACGACGACGATGGCGACGAACACGACGTCGACGACGACGACGCGACGACGACGACGGCGACAACGACGAGATGACGACGGCGACGACGACTACGACGGCGATGGCGACGACGACGACGATGGCGACGGCGACGACGACGGCGACGGCGAGGCGACGACGACGACGACGACAATGGCGACGACGACGGCGATGACGACGAGATGACGACGCGACGACGACGACGACGACAACGACGACGATGGCGACGACGACGACGACGATGGCGACGGCGATGACGACGACGACGGCGACGGCGACGGCGACGACGACGACGACGACGACGGCGACGGCGACGATGGCGACGGCGACGGCGACGACGACGGCGACGACGACGACGACGACGGCGACGACGACGGCGGCGACGACGACGACGACGACGGCGACGGCGACGGCGACGGCGGCGACGAGACCGAGGCTTCGCACGCCTGGCGTTTTCGCGCCGTGGCTGCGGGCCCCGGGGCCCTCAGAGATCGATTGCGGCTCGGAAGGTGCAGCCGATCGGGGTGGGGCCGCAGGAGGAGGAGGGAGGAGGGAGGAGGGAGGAGGAGGAGGAGGAGGAGGAGGAGGAGGAGAGAGGAGGGAGGGGAGGGAGGAGGGAGGAGGGAGGAGGAGGAGAGGAGGAGGAGGAGGAGGAGGAGGAGGAGGAGGAGGAGGAGGAGAGGAGGAGGAGGAGGAGGAGGAGGAGGAGGGAGGAGGAGGAGGAGGAGGAGGAGGAGGAGGAGAGGAGAGGAGGAGGAGGAGGGAGGAGGGAGGAGGGAGGAGGAGGGAGGAGGAGGAGGCCGCCTCCGGGGCCGTGCCTTTGCCCGTGGTGCTGCGCACTTCTGTGCGGAACGTCGGCGCCTCGGTGTGCCCCGACCTCCCGAGACCTGGACACGCCGAGCCGCAAGTGTGTTCGGCAGCTTCGGCCCCTGGGGGCCGGCTTCGGACCCTGGGGCTGTCTGCAAACATCGGCTACACGCAAGAGTGACCCTGGGTAAGAGTGACCTTTGGTGCGCGGCTTTTGGGGGGCCGCGGGGGGGACCAAAAGCGAGCGCGCAGGACGCCACCACCGCACCACGCTCGGCGAGCAGGGGACCCCAGTGAGCCCGCACCACAGGCCACTCCGGCGAAGGGCCACTCTTGCGTGCTGTCGAAAGCACGGCTCGGGACGAGAGGCCGGTCCCGAGGGACGGGTCGAGAGGTCCGGGCCCTCGAGACTCAAGAGCATCGTGGCGCTGGATGTCTGGGCACATGCGCCTCCCTGGGCAGGCCAGCATCGGGGGGGGCGTGCCAGGGTGGGCTCAAAGCACAGGCGCCCCAAACGGCCCGTGGAAAAGGGGACCGAAGCATCCAGCTGGGATCGCTCCCCAGCCGCATCTCGGGATGACCCTCTCCCCTGAGATCCGACGTCACTAACAAATTGCAACTTCGCGCGAAAAATCACGACGAGCCCTAGAACCCATCTTCCTGCAGCATTCTGCGAGCCGGATCGATCTGCGAGGGCCCCCGGGCCCGAAGCCGAGCGAAAACGCTTGGTGCGAAAACGAGGCAACGCCCCGATCTCAGGCCCTCGAGGTACCTCCTCCTCCTCCTCCTCCTCCTCCTCCTCCTCCTCTTCCTCCTCCTCCTCCTCCTCCTCCTCCTCCTCCTCCTCCTCATCCTTGCTCCTCCTCATTTGCTCCTCCTCCCCTCTTCCTCCCCCTTCTCCTCCTCTTCCTCCTCCTCCTCCTCCTCCCTCCTCCTCCTCCTCCTCCTCCTCCTCCCCTCCTCCTCCTCCTCCTCCCCCCTCCTCCTCCTCCTCTCCCTCCTCTCCCTCCTCCTCCTCCTCCTCCTCCGCCTCCAACTTCTTCTCCTCCTCCTCCTCTCGGAGCAGCGCCCGCATCGGCGCAGACCGGGCAGGGCCACGGGCGGAGGGGGCTGCGCAAAGGAAGAGGCAGCAACAGAAAGACAAACAACATGCGGTCAACCCATACAAGCAGGACGCACGACGAGGGTGCAAGGGCCTCGATGAGCCACGTCGACACTCTGCGGGCGGGGCGCGGCCAGCGAACGCGGCCAAGGATGGGCCGAAGCGGAAGGATGCAAGGCCCTTGCATCCTCCCGCAGACTTGCAACCCTGCAAGGCCCTTGACTGCCCTGCAAGGCCCACGCCCGAGCGAAAACGCTTGGTGCGAAACGAGGCAACGCCCCGATCTCAGGCCCTCGAGGTACCTCCTCCTCATCCTCCTCCTCCTCCTTCTCCTCCTCCGTCGGCCCATCCTTGCAGGCCCATCCTTGCTATGCGGGCTGACTGCACGGCCAGGAGCGTTGGCTCCGCGCGTCGTGTGGCGGCGGCCCTGGCGATGCGCTATAGTGCCCTGCGAGCGGACCGCGTGTCGCTCCGCTCCGCGTGGCGGGAGGACAGGAACCGCCTGTTGGCGGCGCGCACGAGGGGGTGGAGGGAGGGGGGGGGGCTTCTTAGGAGGAGGCTGCTCCTTAGAGGGCGCTGGCCTCACATGTATACACAGGGCGCACGCGCCCTCCTAGGAAGCAGGGTGCTTCTGAGCCCTCCCCCCTCTCCCCCGCCCCCCTCTGCGCGCGGCTGAGCCTGGGACGCTCGCGCTCGGGGACTGCGACGTGGCCAGCGTGCCGCGCCGGGGCGTGGCTGGCCAGAACTGGCGGAGCGACACGCTTAGAGGCCTCCTAGATGGGGTCCGAGTAGATAGGGTCGAAAGATCGCACCGCATCGCCAATGCATCGCCGATGTATCGGCGATGCATCGGCGATGCACTGGCGACGTTGGCCATGCATCGGCGATGCGGCGCGATCCTCCGACCCCATCTACTCCGACCCCATCTAGGAAGCCTAGAACGCTGGGCCCAAATCCCTGACCGTAAACTCTCTCGGAGGTCCGCGCGGACTCCTGGGATCGGAGCGCCGCCAAGGGGGGCCCCCAGCGCAGATCCAGGAAGACCGCGCGGACCTCCGAAGATATTTGGGCTTCTGCGTGGGACCCAGAACTCGGCAATGACCGACCGCCCCGGGATTCCTGGCAGACCGGCCAGAGACATGGTCTGAGCACTTCTTGCAAGCCGCAAGCGGTTCTTACAACATTCTTTGATGGTCCTATCTATAGTCGGAGCAGGGCGAGGTGACACAACGACAGCTCGAACTCGGTCCCCAGAGTCCGAACGCACAAATTTTCAGAGCCGCGTCCAGCGGTAGCGACGCAGGGGTCCCCCTAGAGCCAACTTCCGCTGTTTTAACTCGCCCTCCTCTGATGCAGGCAGGTCAGCAACCTTCGCCACTGATGAACGGAGCCGCGGGCTAGGCTGGACAAGCAGCGGAAGCCGACGAGAACGCCCGAAAGCCTCGAACCTCGAGCTCCTCCCTGCCCTGCGTCAAAGCGGGGCAGGTCAGCTATAGCCCCGCCACTGCGACGATGTCGGGGTGGATCCGGCCGTGGCGGCGAGGGGCCCCTCGGAGGCACAGCAACAGCGAAGCACGGACCTCGAAAAAGAAAAAATGCCATAAACATAACATGCTTGAAGGGGCCCCGGGACACACAAACAAATACACACACAAATAGAAGTATTCCCCACATGTTCCCATGTTTTCGGGGTTTCTGCCTTCCCCCCCACTGCCCATATCTTCCCATATTTTCCGGGGATCGAGGATTCATGGTGTCTGTGTGTTTTTTCCCCCTCCTGAATAGCATGTTGGCGCTCCGCGCGGATCTCTTGGACCTGCGAGCCAGGGGCGGCGCCGGCGGCGCCGCGGGGGGGGGGCCATGCGCCCGCCGATCGAAGCCGTCCGAGCGGAGAGCCACAAGTTTTCTGTTCACGGCGCTCCTCCTTCTCGAGAAGCTTATGCTTATGGCGCTTATGTTAGGGTCGAGGATGCGGGATGGCGATTCATAAAGAAATGGGAGAGAACGATTAACACAAAAAAACGTAGTTTCTGCTATTTCTGCCTAATTTTCGGACTGGAGGAGAACGATTAAGAAGAATAGTCTTCCAGCCCGCGGCCGGCTTTCTTCTAATCGCCATCCCGGGCGCCGCCGCGTGAACACGACCCCCGGTCAATGTATTCATCGTCATCCTCCAGTACACTCGAATGCGAGCACCTCGATCCTCGAACATCGGCCCCCGAAGCTCGGTCCGCAAGCTCCGCCGCTGCCTGACAGCGCCGCGCGCCGCCCCCTGGCGCGGCGCCCCGCGGCGCGCCCCCTGCGCCTCCGGCCTGAAGTCGGGCCTGCCCTCCTACGGGGGGATGTTCGGCGAAAAAATTAAATAGGGGGAAAACAAACCTACCTCGTTTTTGACCACCCTCGCTTCCAAGAGATACAAAAGACAAAAGATGTCAAATTGCAGGCTGTACTGGTCAGGCCGCTTGACGAGGAGGCGCGTGGTATGGCTTGGTTCTGCCTGGGAGCGAACGCGGGGTAGGTAATTCACGTTCTGATAGAAAGTAGTCCAAAAATGCTCCAGAATGGCCAGGAAATGCTAAAAAAGAAATAGCCCCGGACTACTTTTTTCACTCTTTTTTGAATATTCCCCCTGTAGAAGGACGGGCCCGACGTAGCTCTGGCCTACTCCGGCATCCGCGCGTAGGCCCCGGCCGCCGCTGGGCCCCGGCGCCGCCGGCAGCGCCAGCAGGCGCCTGGCAGGGCGACGCAACGCGGGCTTCTCTTGCACACCTATGGGGCTGGAGCCCAACCCCCTCGGGCAATGAAAAAATCATGACGGGAGGTTTTTCCCAATTTTCGGCCTCCGGGGGCCCTCACCAGGCCTCGGGAGCGTCAAAAGACGACTCAGGATGCAAAGCCGGTCCCGGGGAATGGGTCGAGATCTCTGGGGGTCGACGTCATGAAAAAATCATGACGTCGGGGGTCTGGGGAGCGCGGAGCCCTTCCTTCTTGTGCTGCCTTCGTGCGCTCGCCGCGCCCCCCCCCTCAGGCCTTCCCCTGCCCCTGCCGCCTCCTATGCTGGTCACGACCCGCTGAGATCCCGGCGACTCTTTCGAACCGGCCGGCGTTTTCGCCTTTTTTTTTTAGGTCCCGGGGCCCTCAAAGATCGATCCCGCTCGAAAAATGATGCAGAAGGATGGGGTCCGGGGCTCCGGGCGGGGATTTTCACGATGTTGCAATTTTTGCGCTGCGTCGGATCCCAGGCGATGGCCCCAGGAGAGCGCCAGGATGGCCCCAAGACCCACCCCCCTCACCCCGCCTCGCCTGGTCCTCGCCCTCCCTCATGCCAGAACCAGGGGCTGTGTGCCACCTGTGCCCTGGAGTCCGGGCGCTGCAACTTTTCCATACCGTTCTAGGTTCGAGGTCTTCAGGCGGTCTCGTCGGCGGTGGACAGGCCTCCTGTTAGCTAGCAAACCACCCTTTCCAGTGAAAACGGCCTATAGTAGGACCAAAACCAACGGACCTGGACCCGCAAAAAGGACGACCGCGACGCCCTCATTCGAACCCAGACACGCGACGTCCTGTTTTTTCAAGACGGGACGGCGTCCCCCGAAGTCCAAACCCTTTCCCCGGGGCCGGCTTCTCATCCCGAGTCATTTTTTGACGGTCCTGGGCCCCAGCGAGGGCCTCTAGAGGCCGAAAAGAATCAAAAACCTCCGTCCTGAATTTCTTACGACGCGACCATGTCTGGGAGCCGAAAGCGGCCAATTCGCGAATCGACGCGCCAGGGTCGGAAGTCGATCCACCTCCGATTTCGTGGGTTCCCGGCGGCTTTTTCCGGCCGCGGGATGCTCTCCGATACTTGCGCCTGGCCGCGAGGCACCCAGGGGATGCCCTACTACTCCTGAGCGGCCGCTTCAGAGGCCCGCACAGTGCGGCCCGAAACCTAAGCCCCGGAGGTCCAGGCGGCGCAACCTTATTGAAGGGGAACTGGGACACACAAGTAAATCTACACAAATAGCCAGATTCCTTATACTTTCACATCTTTTCTAGGTTTTTGTCTCCCCCCCCGCTTCCCATATTTTTCATATTTTCTGGGGAATCGACGATTAATTGTGCCTGTGTTTTTTTCTCCTCCTGACTTATCTGTCGCACGCGGCGTGTTCGCCGAACTTTGGCCCCGGGGCCATCGCAGGTCGACCTGTCTCGACGCGCGCCGCCGCAAGATGGTGGCCTGCCCCGGAACGTCGGCTCTCTTAAAATAAACGCAAACTTTCTGAAGTCCGCGCGGATGTTTTGGATCTGCGCTGGACCCTCCTGGCAGCGCCTCTGGCACGGCCCCTGGCGCGCTCCGCGCCCCAGGCAGGAGGCCCCGGCCCCAGACATGCGATGCTTTTTGTGTTGTCCATACCGTTTCCCCGGAAATCCCGACTCATTCCCAAGGCCGGTGTTCCATCCCGAGCCGTTTTTGACAGCCCTGGGGCGTGGCGAGGGTTCCCGGAGGGCGAAGACTGCCGAAAATCTCCCGTCGCGTGATTCTTGCCACGACGCGAGCAAAAGCCTGGGGCGCCGATCCAAGACATCCGCGCGCGGACCTCTGGAAGATTACGCTCGTGCTGTGTCTGCTGCCCCTGGCTGGGTGTGGCCGCGACGCCGCCCCGCGCCCGCTGCCAGGGTTGCAGCACTGGCTGGCCGCCCCAGCCGCTCCGCAACGGACCCCGCCGCGTGAGCGCCCTCCCTCCCCCCCTCCCCTGCCCCGCGGCCGCTTCCTCCTCGCCCGCCTTTTTCCCCCCCTCGCTGCCGGACAATTTTGGGCGTGGCTTAATGGGGGGGTCGCAAGTGGGGGGGTCAGAAAAGGTCCCTTTTCGTGCCCCTCCAGAGCCCCAGGGGGCTCAATTAGGTACCATTAATTGGGTACCTTTTCGGACCACACTCGCCGCCCCCCCATTTACGATCCCCCCATTACGCAGCGCCCAACAATTCTAGCGATGCTGTCTCCCGGCTGGCCCGAGCGCCCGCGCGGACCGCCTCTGTCGCGCTGCGACGCAACAGGTGTCTTTCCAGACGTGCGACGTCCTGCTTGTTTCAAAACGGCGTCCCCGGAAGTCCCGACCCTCTCCCCGGGGGCCGGTTTTTCATCCCGAGCCGTTTCTTGGCGGCCCCGGGGCCCAGCGAGGGCCCCTATATGGGGCCGAAAATAACGAACACCTCGCCGCCTTGATTTTTTGGTTACGACGCGATCCTGTCTGGGAAATGTCTTCTGCCCCTCCAGGCGTCTCAGCAGGAGGAGGAGGAGGAGGAGGAGGAGGAGGAGGAGGAGGAGGAGGAGGAGGAGGACAAACGCCACAGTTTCACGCGTAGGTTGGTCTAGCGTAAAATCGGCCTGGCGAAGGACCCAGCCCTATGCAGTTGTGAATACCGCAGTTGTGAATATCATCTTCGCCCGCGCTCCCTATGTGGCCACGGCTTCCCTCCTGAGCCCGCTCCGTTCAGGAACGCGTTCGTGGCCGTCTTCGCGGGCGCCGACGACAAGGACGGCGTCCCTCTGACCGAGGAGGAGAAGCAGGAGAGGGCTTTTAGAGCCATGAGGGAGGAGGTGGCGTCGCACGTCGACAAAGTGGAGTACGACGCCCAGGCGCGGTTGTTGAAGCAGCACAACTGTGGGGCCACGATCCTCGTTAGGGGTGTGCCGCAATGGCCCGGGGCCGCCATGCGAACCCTGCCACAAGCGCCTCAGGTGGAGCTCCTGTGGGGCCACGATCCTCGTGAGGGGTGTGCCGAAATGCCCCGAGGCCGCCATGCGAACCCTGCCATTGGGGGCCTTAGGTGGGGCTCCCTATTGGGCCACGAACCGTGTGAGGGGTGCGCCTAAATGGAGCGGGGCCGCCATGCGAACCATGCCACTGGGGCCTTCGCTGGGGCTCCCTTTGGGGCCACGAACCGTGTGAGGGGTGCGCCAAAATGGCGCGGGGCCGCCATGCCAACCCTGCCACTGGGGCCTTCGCTGGGGCTTCCTATGGAGCCACGAACCGTGTGAGGGGTGCGCCAAAATGGCGCGGGGCCGCCATGCCAACCCTGCCATTGGGGCCTTCGGTGGGGCTCCCTATGGGGCCACGAACCGTGTGAGGGGTGCGCCAAAATGGCGCGGGGCCGCCATGTGAACCATGCCACTGGGGCCTTCGCTGGGGCTCCCTTTTGGGCCACGAACCGTGTGAGGGGTGCGCCAAAATGGCGCGGGGCCGCCATGCCAACCCTGCCACTGGGGCCTTCGCTGGGGCTCCCTATGGAGCCACGAACCCTGTGAGGGGTGCGCCAAAATGGCGCGGGGCCGCAATGCGAACCCTGCCATTGGGGCCTTCGGTGGGGCTCCCTATGGGGCCACGAACCGTGTGAGGGGTGCGCCTGCCATTGGGGCCTTCGGTGGGGCTCCCTATGGGGCTACGAAGCGTTGCACTGGGTGGGCGAAACGCAGGGAGGAGAGGAGGAGGAGGAGGAGGAGGAGGAGGAGGAGGAGGAGGAGGAGGAGGAGGAGGAGGAGGAGGAGGAGGAGGAGGAGGAGGAGGAGGAGGAAGGAGGAGGAGACGCGCGGCACCGTCTCTTCAAAACGCAACACCACAGGACGGTTGGAAAAAGAAACAGGAAGGAGGAGGAGGAGGAGATGGAGGAGGAGGAGGAGGAGGAGGAGGAGGAGGACCTCCCCATCCTCTTTCCTCCCCCGCCCTACCTTTGGCAGCGGTGGTCCCAGAGATCCGACGTCGTGATTCTTTCAGTACGGGGTCCCCAGAAGTCTCGACCCATTTCCCAGGACCGGCTTCTCATCCCGAGTCGTTTTTTGACGGTCCCGAGACCCGGCGAGGGCCCCTGGAGGCCGAAAACTGCGAAAAACCTCCGTTCTGATTTTTCAATGCGTTGGATCTCTGGGGCGGACGATTGGCCCGGGCGCCGCAGCCCAAGAGGAACAGGGCCACCGCGCAGAGCGACAGGCCGGCGAGGCGCAGCTCGGGCGTGTGGTCCACGGTCCTCCGGCGGCGCGGCCACGGCCCTGCCGTCGCTCTCGGACGCCCATCGTCGGGCCGAAGGAAAGAGGGTCCCCTCCTGCTCCTCCTGCTCCTCCTGCTCCTCCTCCCTCCTTCTGCCTTCTCCTCTCTCCCTCCTCCTCCTCCCTCCTCCTGCCTTCTCCTCCCTCCTCCTGCTCCTCCTCTTGCTCCTCCTGCTCCTCCTGCTCCTCCTCCTGCTCCTCCTGCCTTCTCCTCCCTCCTCCTGCTCCTCCTGCTCCTCCTGCTCCTCCTCCCTACTCCTGCCTCCTCCTCCTCCTCCTCCTCCTCCTCCTCCTCCTCCTCCTCCTGCCTTCTCCTCTCTCTTTCTCCCCGTCCTGCCTCTCCCCCCTGTCCATCCCTCGGGCCGAGCGACAGGGGGGGCACAGGCAAAGGGGGGAAGGCGAACTCTGCCGCCCGCCGCTGGTCTCGGCCCCGCCGCCGGGCCCCTTCCTCGATGCGCATGGGCGCCTCCCGGCGCCGGGAGGCGCGGGGAAAACCAGCTGCGTGAGCTGATTCGCTACCCTGTACTGGAGGTCGCGTGGGGGGCAACGTTGTTTCCAGGGCCAAATCAATACGCTCAGCCGGCGCGCTTGATCCGTCAATAACAATCCTTACAACACCCATTCGCGACATGTTCGGACCTTAGGCTTGCTCTTACCAACGATTGGGCTGTTTAGGTTTGCTCTTACGCTACGAGCATTATCTCCTCTTCCGTCGCCCCAGAAACACAAATCGCGTTCGCTGCCCCTCAGCGAGCTGTACCCTTTGCTATCCCCCCCATCGTTCCCCCCGAGCCCAGTGCCCGATGTGTTCTTCGACGTCGTGCGCTTCACTTTCGAAGACCATCCAAGACCCAGACAGGACGGCGTCGTAGAAAAGAAAAGGGAGGCAACACCTCGTCATCGCTCGGACGTCCAGCGCTGGTGTGCTTTTCGCGTGCGCTTCGTTTTCAAAGACCATTCAAAACCCAGACAGGGTCGCGTCGATTTTCGGCCCCTGGTAGGCTCCAGGGGGGAGGAGGAGGAAGTCCCTGAGGGCACCTCACGGACACCAGCGCCAACTTCGAGGCTCTCCCCCTCCGCACTCCGCCCTTCCCCCCTCCTGAGATCCGACGTAGCGAAAAATGTGCAACATCGTGGAAATCCGCGCCCGGAGCCCCGGACCCCATCTTTCTGCGCCGCTCTTCGACCCGGGACCCTAAGAAAGGCGAAAACGCCCGGCTCGAACAAAATTGAGCCGCCAGGATCCCAGGGCCTACCCACCCCTCCCCCTCCCTCCCATGGCGCCCCTGCGTCGTGCAACATCGCGACGGATGGCTTCTGGACAGTGTTCGCTTCCCGGGGCTCCCTCCTCCTCTCTCCTCCTCCCTCCTCCTCCTTCCTCCTCCCTCCTCCTCCCTCCCCCTCCCTCCCCCTCCCTCACCCTTCCTCCCCCTCCCTCCTCCCTCCCTCCTCCATCATCTCTCCTCCCTCCTCCCTCCCTCCCCCCTCCTCCCCTCCCTCGCCCCACGGTCGGGGGAGCTCTTGCCCCGCGTGCCGCGGCGGCGGCCCCGCCGGCACGCTGCGCCCCGCAGGCAAAATCGCGGGTCGCTCCGCTCCGCGGGGGCCTCGGGAGCGGGACGTGAGCGCCTGGGGTCGGGAGCGGCCAAGAGGGGGGTGTCCAAGAGGGGGAGGAGGAGGAGGAGGAGGAGGAGGAGGAGGAGGAGGAGGAGGAGGAGGAGGAGGAGGAGGAGGAGGAGGAGGAGGAGGGCTAGGATCGGGATAAATCGCTCCAGAGCGTTCCGGAGCGCTCTCAGAGCGTTCTGGAACGCTCTGAGAGCGGCCGCGGCGCCCAGTACATCCTCCAAACCCGCCGATTCTCAGGGATTTCGAGTTCTCCCGATCCGATTTTGTCCTGATCTTCGCGTCGATTTACCAAGAGGGGGGTGTCCAAGAAGGGGGGGGTGCAAATCATGACCGGCGGCACGTGCACGGCCCAGCGGGGGGGCCAGGGACGTAATGAAATAAGAGGAGGCGCCATGAAATCTGGAGAACTATCATGGCCCCCGCCATGATATCCACCCCACCCTAGTCATCACCCCCCTCTTGGCCGCCCCCGATGGGGACGGGGACGCGATTGGCGTGTCGCTCCGGGGTGTGGTGGGCCAGAACTGGCGGAGCGCCACTGAGCGAAAGCCCCCGACCGTACACTGGGCACCCGGATCGCCAACGAGACGGCTCAGGATGTGAGGCCGCTCCCAGGGGGGAAGGAAAGGTCCCGACCTCCCAGGACATGAAGGGGCCCCAGGACACACAAATAAATACACACAAATAAAATGATAGCCCCATATTTTCGTATTTTTTGAGTTTTTGTCTTCCCCCCCCACTTCCCAACTTTTCCCACATTTTCCTGGGAGTGGACGATGACTTGTGTCTGTGTGCTTTTTCCCCTTCCTGATTGAAAAACTCAGGACATCGGATGTCTTGGGATGGCAAGCCGCTCCCCGCCCGCGCCCTGCGCCCTTGTGCCGACCGCCGGGTCTTGGCAGGCTGCAGCGCCAGGTGGGTCTTCAGCAAGATCTTGCTGATGTTGGGGCCCGTGTACGGGTAGTACGAGTCCGTGGGATCGCACGGCTCGCTGTAGTAATCGCACTTCCACCTGCGCGGGCCCGAGACCCCCCCACCCACCTCCTCCTGCTTCTTCACGTTCCCCGTCTGCTCCTGCTCCCGCTGCTGCTGCTGCTCTTGCTTCTTCTCCTTCTCCTTCTCCTTCTTCTCCTTTCTTCTCCCCCACCTCCACCTCCACCTCCTGCTCCTGCGCAGGACTCTGCGCACCAGAAAACCTCCGATGCACAACAGAGGCCGAGCGAATGGCCTGACTCCTGGGACCCGACCTCCAGGACTCGGAACACCTGGCTGCCGGAGGGGAGGCTCCTTAGACGCGCCCCCCCCACCCTGCGACTGCACTGGAGTCGCACTCCCACAGAGAGAGGCGGCGGGAGGGCATTTCCACCACCACGCCGCCGCAGCCGCGCCTGGGCCACAGATGCTCTTGGGCGTGGCTTCCCGGGCTGGCCTGGAGCCGTCGCCCACCCAGATCCTGGCCCGAGCGGGGGCCAGAAGAGGCCTTTGGGTGGGATACTCCCCGGCGTTCTCCGTCCTCTCGCTGCCTCCCAGAAGCTCCTCGGCGCCACAGCTGGCCCCGCCTCGAACACACAAGTCAGCACGAACCTCGGGGGGGGGGGGGGCGGGGTCCGATGTGGAGCAGCTTTGGGCCGGACGGACGGGCCGCCACTGTCTCAACTGGCCCTCCTCCGGCAAGGGGGCAGCGAGAGGTCCTGCTTGGCCGCGGGTGGGGCGGACGGAGGCCGCCTCGAGGCAGGGGGCTCCCCAGAGAGACCGCGGGCTTCCGAGAAGGCCCCTATCACCCCCCAGGCGAACTAGAACACGTTCGGCAGCATGTGTCCTCCTCCGCCTCCTCCCACTCTTCCTCCCTCCTTCTCTCCCTCTCTCCTTCTCCCCTCCCCTTCCATCTCCTCCTCTTTTTCTTCTCCTCCTCCTCCTCCTCCTCCTCCTCCTCCTCCTCTTTCTCTTCCTTCTCCTCCTCCTGCTCTTCCTCCCTCCCGTCCTGCTCCTCCTCCTCCTCATCATCATCTTCCTCCTCTTCCTTGCTTCCCTCTCCGTCTCTGAGTGTTATTACCCTCCCTCGCCTGACTGTCCTGCAAAGGCAGGTCTCCATGGTGCCGACCGTCGGGCTGGCGATGGGCGGGTCGGACGCATTGGTGCAGCTCGCCCGGCGCTCGCACTGCAGGCCGTAGCTGTCCAGCCACGGTCTGGAACCGAGGAGCAGGAGGAAGGCGAGGAGGATGAGGAGGGAGAGGGAGAGGGCGGAGAGAATGAAGAGGAGGAGGAGGCGGAGGAGGGGGAGAAGGAGGAGGCGGCGGATGAGGAGGAGCGGGAGGCGGAGGAGGGAGAGGGCGAGGGCGAGGATGAGGATGAGGGTGAGGGTGAGGATGATGCTGCTGCTGATGATGATGCTGCGGATGATGATGATACTGATGATGATGATGATGCTGATGACGATGCTGAGTATGCTGATGATGCTGAAGATGGTGATGATGCTGATGGTGGTGATGATGCTGATGGTGACGATGATGATGGTTATGATGATGCTTCTGATGATGACGATTATGATGCTGATGGTGGTGCGAATGCTGATGCTGATGCTGCTGAAGTTAATGATGCTGATGAGGAGGAAGGCGAGGAGGATGAGGAGGGTGAGGGCGAGGGCGGAGAGGATGAGGAGGATGAGGATGAGAAGGCGGAGAAGGAGGAGGCGGCGGATGAGGAGGAGCAGGAGGCGGAGAAAGGAGAGGGCGAGGGCGAGGGCGAGGATGAGGATGAGGATGAAGGTGAGGATGATGCTGCTGTTGATGATGATGATGCTGATGATGATGATGATGACGATGATGCTAAGTATGATTGTGATGATGATGCTGATGATGGTGATGATGCTGATGGTGATGATGATGGTGATGGTGATGATGATGCTGATGATGACGATTATGATGCTGATGGTGGTGATTGAGAATGCTGATGCTGATGCTGCTGATGATGCTGATGATGATGCTGGCGATGCTGCTGACGATGATGCAGATGATGATGATAATGATGATGACGGCGATGATGATGATGATGATGATGATGATAATGCTGGTGATGATGATGATAATGGTGATGATGATGGCGATGGCGGCGATGACGACGGTGATGATGATGGTGATGATGATGCTGATGATGCTGATGCTGATGTTGTTGGTGATGATGATGATGATGATGATGATGATGATGGTGACGATGTTGATGCCGATGGTGATGCGGCTGATGATGATGATGATGATGATGATGATGATGATGAAGGCGATGCCGATGACGATGCCGATGTCAATGATGACACTGATGACGCCAGTGATGATGACGATGCTGATGATGGTGATGGTGATGATGATGGTGATGGTGATGATGGTGATGACGATGATGGTGGTGCCGGCGATGACGACGACTGTTATGATGGCGATGGTGCCGATGATGATGATGATGACGATGACGACAGTGCTGCTGATGATAATGAGGGGGAGATGCGGCGGAGGAGGAAGAAGTGAGGAGGAAGGGTAACAGGGGACGAGGAGGAGGAGGAAGAGGAGGAGGAGGAGGAGGAGGAGGAAGAGGAGGAGGAGGAGCGAACGTCACCGGAGGGGCAGGTCCGCTCGATGCGCTGGCCTCTGCGGACCGCAGGCGGCGCGGGCGCCGGGCGCGAAGCACGCTGGTTTGACGCTGCTTGGGCCGGAGGCTGGCGGAGGCGGCGGCCAGGTACGGGCAGCAGGGGCGCTGCCCTCGCCGTGCAGGAGCCCCGGGGATCTCCAGGAGGAGGAGGAGGAGGAGGATGAGGAGGAGGAGGAGGAGGAGGAGGAGGAGGAGGAGGGGGAGGGGGAGGAGGGAGGGGGAGGAGGAGGAGGAGGGGGGAAGGGGAGAGGAGGAGGAGGGGGAGGGGGAGGAGGAGGGGGAGGAGGAGGAGGAGGGAGGAGGAGGAGGAGGAGGAGGAGGAGGAGGAGGAGGAGGAGGAGGAGGAGGGGGAAGAGGAGGAAGAGGAGGAGGAGGAGGAGGAGGGGCGGGGAGGAGGAGGAGGGGGAGGGGGACAAGCTAGGTGCGCTCGCGTCATATCTGACATCCTACTCCTCCCTCCCATCCCTTACCATGGCGCAGATCCCCTCTCTACTCGCACAGTCGGATGTCCCGAAAGGGTACGCGATGCATTGTAGAGCACGGCATGGCATGGCGTAGAACAGGACCGCGAAGCGTAGTATCAACCTAGCATTGCATTGCATGCTGTGGCATGGCGCGGGAAATGACGCCAGCGCTGCAGCGGGAGCACGAGTCGAAACGAGCGGAAGCGCGGAAATGAAGCCAGCGCTGCAGCGGGAGCACGATTCGGAACGAGCGGAAGCACGGAAATGAGGCCAGCGCTGCAGCGAGAGCACGATTCGGAACGAGCGGGGCCCGAAAACGAGGCCGGCGCCTCAGCGAGAGCAGCATTTTGGGACAAATTGCAAGCGAAAGCCTAACTCCGGGGAAGGCTTCCCGGGCGCCACCTTGAGACTCCAAGGTCGATCTATAGTGCGGGGTCGAACTATAATGCGGGGGTCATACTTTTCTGCGGGTCGATCTATAGTTCGGGCGCGCCGAAAATAGTTCGACCCGCCGTTTTGGGGCAAACGGGGCTTCAGCACCCATGCTCGCGCTCGCCCCACTGGGAGGGGACCAACATATACTTGAGCCGACAGCAATGAATGACAACGATACACACAGAAGCGTTCTTTTCAAAGCATGCGCACAATCGGCTGGCCGCAGAACTTAGAGATGCATGCCACTGAAAACGCTCTCATGGACCTCCTTTGGCCCCTCCTTCGACCAAATGCAGCTACAGATCCACCGAAATCCTCATCCCTATAGTTCCAGTGCTTCGCTGGTTCACCGCCGCCCATGCACAGTTCTAAAATCGTGTGCATTTGAATATTGACTTTAAAATGGGCAGGAAGCGCGTCTTGCAAAGCGGCCGTCTGCGTGGCAAACTTACTTGAATGCTCTCTAAGAATGTCCACAGCAAATGGGCGATTGTCAGAGAGCGCCTCGTAACACCGAGATAAGCTTTTCATCCCTGCGTGAATGGACGATTCTACAGCTGCCCGCTCGTCGACGCCATTCCTCCTATCAGGGAAAGCCTCCGCCATCTCCAATGCCCACGGAACCATGTGCCTGAGCATCCCCGCGCCGCACCTCATCTTAGCCGTCTTTGCTTGTTTTCCTTTCACAACGCCCCGCGTCAGTCTCGATAGGCGGCTGGTCTTCTCACCTGGCGGCTGCCTGTCGTAGAACGCCATCAAATGACCATGCAGTGTGGAGACGCGGCCTTTCTGGGTAGTTCCAGCCACCTTTTTGTGCGTTACAAGATACCATATCAAGCCCCCTACGAAGTCAGCCGCTACTCCAAGATCAACAACGTGTAACCAATCTAGCTTCAGCAACTTTTCGTTCGCATACGGCACTTGGAAGAGAGGGCGCACCTGCTCGCCTGAAGCGATAATCTTCGCAAGGGCTTCTGGCCATGTGCGTCGGTGCGTTCTCCACGGCGCGTCTCTCCCAGTCTGCGATTTCACCTGCGGGGAGTAGCCAAAAACACTCCTCCTCCTCCTCCTCCTCCTCCTCCTCCTCCACCCCTCCTCCTCCTCCTCCTCCACCCCCCCTGGAAGGGGCCGCAAAACGACGACGACGCACCCCCTCCCAGAGGGGATTTCCATCCTCCCCTGATGTGTTGCGCTCCCAGGGCCTCGTCCTTCTTGATGTTGCACAGGAAGCATACTTCGTCATCTTGCCAGCCAGGTAGCTTGAGCACCTCCTTCATCATCTTCCAGTCCCCTTTGATCTGGCAAAGCACTCCGCCAATTGGTAGGGTTGCATCGGCCACTTGTCGGCGCTTCCTCCATGCGTCCTGCGCGCCGAAGGGAGAGCCGTCGTGCCGTGCCGTCGGCCAGCGCTTCGCAGCCAAGTGAACAAAGCTCCACTGCACCACTGCAAAAACATCATCAAATGTGTTGGGGCCCACGTGCTCTTTGAGGAACGCTGTGATTGGGACCCGCAGGTTTTTCCAGCGCCCCGCAGCCCCTGGCAACATGAGGCTGATGATCTCTGCGCTCATCGATCGGTCCCAGAAGCAAGGGACCCCGTCCTGCCACACGCCCAGGGCCACCAGGTCGTTGCGACCACTCTCCGCCCTTGCTCTTTGCACGTGGCGCAGAGACACGCCGTCGAGACTCGACGTCTCCAGTAGCACGCTCCGCTCGCCAAAATGATGAAGTTGATGAAGTATTTCGTGGGGAAGCATCATCGCTAAGTCCATCAGTTGTTCTGTTTCAGACTTGGGGCCCCAGCCCCTCACCTGGCAGTGATAGAGCGGAGGCCACCCTTTCCTGAAGAAATCCCGCCTGAACTTCCTGGCAGCGTTTTTCATGCCCGACGTTGACCCCGCAGTCTGCAGGTCGGAGCGACCTGTCGCAGATGCAGAGACGCAGTCATTGATCAGCTGAGCGCCGCGCTGCCCGCTGACCACGCTGCTGCTTATCAGGTCCTGCACGTTCGCTCTCAGCCGCCTCTCCGGCGGCAAGCCCAACCTGTCATAAGGCAACCGCCGACTGGAAAGCATCCCGCGGGGCCCGCGGGAGACGGGCGCGAGCGCGGCGGCCTTGAGCCAGTGGCTACGAACATGCGCGGCTGAGGCAAGGAGCCCTTGCCCTTTCCCGCGCCCCTCCTCCGCGCCCTCCTTCAATCCCTTTCATGCCCCTCCCCTCCTGCTAGTCCCTCCGTCAATGCAGTTACTGCCGATGATGCCAAGCCCCCCTCCCCCCCGCCCCCCTCCCCCCCTTCCCCCCTGCGATGAGGGGGGCTTCTTTACTGGCAAACCCAGAAACATGCGGCCCCTCACGAAGGGGCACCCCTGGCAGAGGAAGCGGCAAGTTCTCGTTTTCCCATGGGCGTCGGAAAGGCAGCGCTGCATGCGTGTCGTCGGGCGAGGCAGAGCATGTCAAACCCTACTACATATATGCATGTAAATACTGATATGTAGATGTAGGGCCGCAGCTCAATTGAGGAACTTCTTGAAGCGCTTGACCGAGAACTGAATGCCCTCGAACATGTGCTCGTGTGTGCTGTAGGCGGCCTGGGCCTCAGTCTTCAGCTTATCGTGCATGTCCGTGTCCTTGCCGACAGAATCAGCGCCCTCAATTTTCGC